TCTGTCTCTACGTATAATAATCTCATTGTTTGACTTGTTTTTGGTTTCTGATGTCTGGTTTGTGTGGCTTAGATTTTACCCCGTGGGCAGTTTGGATGTGAAAGCAACAAACCGATTAAACCGCTTAATCCTTAATAAGATGTTAAGTCCCTTGCCTGGATGTTTTTAACTGTACTCAAGAGTCAGATGTGAGACAGTTAGTTGCTCATCTCAACCTTTTATTGGATTACCAAAATGGTAATCAAACTCTCAAATGAAGTTTGTTCAACTCCGGTACAGGAGGTGGCGACATGCGTCCTTTCGTGTTGACATCCTTCCAGTTAGCTAATGGAAACACAAATAGTAAAGCTAGTGGGAGTGTAGTAGACAAAGTAAAACAGGATATTCACAGTGGCTGAAGGAATGGACAACAACAATGCCGGAGCACAGCTTATTTAATACGTACTGTACGATTTGATGGTGTTACACATTTTACTTTGTGGCGATGATATCACAGGCATCAAATACATGGAGGCAACGTGGACTGGCAATGCCCAATTGGAGCTGCCAGAGTGGCAGGCTGCCACCTTGGATGGGTCTCCATTTGCCCCCAGTACATTTATTTCTACTGAGGAATGTGTTTACCAAACTAAAAGAAGACATTTATTAAGCTTTTTCACAAAATCAGACATGGTAACGTATGATGGTTAAAATATAGATACAATAAAATAAAAAAATAAAATATAAAATCCCGTTAATCAGGCTAGAAAAGTCAATAGTAATCCCATGTGATCTGTTTTCAACAGTGCACCGGTTGTTGTAACCGTAGGCTGCACAAACAACGGGCATTGTTGCCCACTCTGTGTTAACTCCAGTTGAGTTTGGAAAGGGAAGAACTCACCCAATATGGCGGCCACGCTGTGTAACGCCCAGTGGTGCATCTACATATCCATGTCTACGGATGATATCAAAAAATACTTCTGCGGTTTTGTCACTTCCGTAAATTACCAGTATCAGCTTGACTGAGCCGCTTACATGCAGTTTTAAAGTCTTAACTTCATAAGGCACAGAAGGATGATGTCAAAGAGATGAGCGGCAGAGAGAATTGTGGATGGTGTTTATGACCAGAGCTCAATAAAGTTCTCTGAACACGCTGCAGCTGTGTGAGATTCCGTGTTTTTTCTCTGTTAAATTACACAATTCCGTCTACGTTTTCTGCATTGGGGGCATGCTAGGACCATGCCACCATAGAATGGTATGTTTGAGGTTGGATGTTTTAGCTCTTTCCTGATTAAAAACACATTTTTGGCCTGTATTTGATATACAGGTGCTGGCCAGTAAATTAGAATATCATCAAAAGGTTGAAAATATTTCAGTAATTCCATTCAAAACGTGAAACTTGTACATTATATTCATGCAATGCACACAGACCAATGTATTTCCAATGTTCATTACATTTAAATTTGATGTTCATAAGTGACAACTAATGAAAACTCCAAATTTGGTATCTCAAAAAATTAGAATATTCTGAAAAGGCTGAATATAGAAGACACCTGCTGCCACTCTAATCAGCTGATTTACTCAAAACACCTGCAAAGGCCTTTAAAAGGTCCCTCAGTCTTGTTTTGAAGGCACCACAATCATGGGGAAGACTTCTGACTTAACAGCTGTCCAAAAGACAATCATTGACACCTTGCACAAGGAGGGCAAGACACAAAAGGTGATTGCTAAAGAAGCTGGCTGTTCGCAGAGCTCTGTGTCCAAGCACATTAACAGACAGGCGAAGGGACGGAAAAAATGTGGTAGAAAAAAGTGTACAAGCTCTAGGGATAACCGCACCCTGCAGAGAATTGTGACGACAAACCCATTCAAAAATGTGGGGGAGATCCACAAAGAGTGGACTGCAGCTGGAGTCAGCGCTTCAAGAACCACCACGAGGAGACTCATGAAAGACATGGGATTCAGGTGTCGCATTCCGTGTGTCAAGCCACTCTTGAACAAGAAACAGCGCAAGAAGCGTCTCGCCTGGGCCAAGGACAAAAAGGACTGGACTGATGCTGAGTGGTCCAAAGTTATGTTTTCTGATGAAAGCAAGTTCTGCATTTCCTTTGGAAATCAAGGACCCAGAGTCTGGAGGAAGAGCGGAGAAGCACAGAATCCACGTTGCATGAGGTCCAGTGTAAAGTTTCCACCGTCAGTGATGGTGTGGGGTGCCATGTCATCTGCCGGTGTTGGCCCACTCTGTTTCCTGAGGTCCAGGGTCAATGCAGCCGTCTACCAGGAAGTTTTAGAGCACTTCATGCTTCCTGCTGCTGACCAACTTTATGGGGATGCAGACTTCACCTTTCAACAGGACTTGGCACCTGCACACAGTGGCAAAACCACCAGCACCTGGTTCAAGGACCATGGTATCCCTGTCCTTGATTGGCCAGCAAACTCGCCTGACCTTAACCCCATAGAAAATCTATGGGGTATTGTGAAGCGGAGGATGCAATACGCTAGACCCAACAATGCAGAGGAGCTGAAGACGACTATCAGAGCAACCTGGGCTCTCATAACACCTGAGCAGTGCCACAGACTGATCGAGTCCATGCCACGCCGCATTACTGCAGTTATTGAGGCAAAAGGAGCCCCGACTAAGTATTGAGTGCTATACATGCACATTCTTTTCATGTTCATTCTTTTCAGTTGGCCAACATTAGAGAAACAAACATTTTTTCATTGGCCTTTAGAATATTCTAATTTTCTGAGATACCAGATTTGATGTTTTCATTGGTTGTCACCTATAAATATCAAAATTAAACGTAATAAACATCGGAAATACATTGGTCTGTGTGCATTGCATGAATATAATGTACAAGTTTCACGTTTTGAATGGAATTACTGAAATATTTTCAACCTTTTGATGATATTCTAATTTACTGGCCAGCACCTGTAGTGCCTTCTAGAGTCCTGGAACCCCCCCACCCCCCAAGGCGCTTTACAACACTTCATCTATGCAAATGTAGGGATGGGTACCTTTGACATTTGAATCGATTCGGTACTAATTCCCGGTACCTACGAATCGATACCGGTACTTAACGGTACCAATTTTCGATACTTTTGAGTGTTTAATATTTTTAATTCTCTTTTATAATTAAATATATATTTTTCTCAATATATAACCATATTTGATAAATATCACGATAAATGACATACAACTGATTGTATTTTAACATTGTCCTTATAGTTTTATAAGCTGATAATTAAACTGAAGCAAACATCTTTACTGTGAACTAAATTTACTGTGTATCTTCATTCCTTTTACCGTCCTTTTTCATTTGATTTTTCCTACTGGGAAGTTAGAATTTCCGAGGAGAAAGTGAACGCACCATTAGATAATGACAATGGTGGCATAGGAAGCTAACATATCGAGCTACGTTATCTTAAACATTATTTAGCTGCTGGAGCAGATTTAAACGATGATGCCTAACACTTAGATCGTCACTGGTTTCATCTTCACCCAATCACCCGTCGCATTTAGTAAAGTGAAGCCAAACTTTAGAGCGCGTTCATGTCCTTCTAGTCGGAATTTCGGAGTTCCGAGGAGGAAGCGAACGCACCATTAGTGAAACGGAAGCTAACAAATCAAGCTAACGTTATCTTAAACATTTTATTTACCTACCGGAGCAGGTTAAGATGAGGATGTCTCACTTAGATCGTTGTCGCTGGTTTCATCATCACCCAGTTACCCATCACATTTAGTGAAGTGGACCCAAGCGTTAGCGTGCATTCTTTCTATCATACTGCTCTGTTTACAACTGGCTCGCAGCGACCGATGACATAACGCTCTTGCGCATGCGCAGCTGTCCAGCCAAGTTCTCGTTATGAAGGACGGGTACCGAAACGAGGCACCGTTTGAAATGAAGTGAATCGGTGCTCGGTCGGTACTGTGGAATTCGGTCGGTACCTTAAAAAGTAACGAATTCGGTACCCATCCCTATGCAAATGTGACAAATATTGTCTTAAACAGAAAACGTTTCCAAGAAAAAAAATTTTTTTAAGCCAAGTCCGTGTTTCTCATTGTTGTTGTTAGTCTGAGAAGAGCTGATGCTTAATGTGGTTCAGCGAGAAGAAATTTCACTTTGTTCACGTTTGGCTTTGAGATGCTGCATGTGTGTTCTTGTGTATTTCTGTTTCATAGATGTTTGGCGAACGTCATGCATGAAGGGAACAGTGAAAAGCATTGCCTGGCTGCAAAGAGCACAAAGAGTCTTCTTTATGTAAAATGTTAGATAAGCAGCCGTGGCTGCAGGGCTGAAATGTAACAGCGGTCGTTCACTGTTAACTCATGGCTCCCCGCCGATGAGAGCCACATATCACTCCGCTTTCTTACTTACCGGTATGTTTTCTAAAGTATGAAAATGTTGAAGTTAAATGTGTTTTCTAACTCCTTTGACACTTTATAACTGTTTTTTATTTTCTCCCCAGCATTCAGAATCTTGTAAACCAAGTCACTATATTCGCTCCTCCCTAGTGACATTTTTTTTAAGTTCTCACTGCCTCTAGTAAAAAAAAAAAAGGTCCGGGAAAATGTTTTCTGTTAGGAATTGTTTAAAATTCAGTGAGCATCGTAGTTCCTGCATGAATCTAAGCAGCTGTTGGCATCATGGTTTATTAAACAACGTTGGCGAATCCTGTTTTAGCGTTTAGCTCTAAGAATGTTGATTCTATTCACAGCCAGTTCTTTTCTTTTGTGTCTGAGTTAATAACCTTCATTCATGTTGTTGAGGTGTGTTTTTACCTGTCCTTAGAGGAGATGACCCCGCTACATTAAAGAAAAATCTCTATTCTTGTCTTATAACCCCACCATCTGGCTTGCGTTAGCATACCCATCTGACACGCACAGATAATGTCCCGTGTGTCAGAGCAAAGCTTTCAACGCACGGCTGATGAGGGTGAATTTGCTCAAACTGAGAAGTGATGCGCTACCCATCGAGAACCAGACTTTTAATTATTTTTTTGTTTCATCTGTCGTGTAGCTTTATGCCAGTATATAGAGGCTACTAAATTCAGAGATGGGGCCAGAGGAAAATTGGCGAGTGCAAACGAAGGTAACAGTCCCACCACACACACTGCTTTCCCCTCCTAACCTGAGCTTAGCTTCAACCCTTCTACCTTAAACCGGATGCACCTTGTGGGTTTTATTTTCCCCCTCAGCAACCCTCCCTTTTTCTTTTTCAGAATCAGAGTATTTTACTGTAATTTCCTGCACAGATGGCGATTTGCCTTTCTTGCTTTGTACACTTTTTTTTTTAAGTTTTCTCGATTTCTCTCCTCCCAGTTTTTTGTTTCTCCCCCACTGTCACCTCCCCTCCCTCAGTAGCAGCTGAACAAGGAGCTGATGTTTGACAATCGCTTCTGTATCTCACACACAAACCCAGTGTTGCCTGCACCGGCATTGCTTGGTCAATGTTTACTCTCCCCCCTACACTCTGAATAACATTATTCAGTACTGCCTTGGTGTGTGCATCACTTCTGCTTTACTTTGGGTTGGAATCAACTCATTTTGTGCTTCTACGACTGATTAATGTCTGCATCCCTCTGTACTGCCATTAAAGCTGTCGAGAAGCATTGAGATCCATAAAGTTAGGTTCATTTCAGCTTTGATTATTGTCAAGTTGCTTTCTTTTTGGAACAGGATGCAAATGGCAGCTTTATATGACGCAATACAAACTTCCTCTGAAGACAAACGTGCTGATCTTCTCTCTCCCTTTGTGATGCGCCTGGCACCTTAAAGCCTGCTTCTACTCAAACTGTTGCTGTTCTCGTGTCTGCACAGCGAAACTTGAACTTGTGTCTCTCCTTTTTTCTGTTTTTGCACTTTGTTTTAATTCAAGGTGAGAATTTTGAGCAGAGTCCTCTGCGAAGAACCTTTAAATCCAAAGTCCTAGCACATTATCCGGACAATGTGGAGGGGAATCCGTTTGACCAGGATGCAGTTGGAATGGTAGGATTTTTGTAAATGAACTGGGATGGGTTTGAGATTGGTGTTCTTTGGGTTATTTCTTTCTTTGTGTGCACACAGCACTGATGTTCTTTCCTTTCTGAATGTTGTGATTTCATCTCTGCTTATCTCCACAGCTCTGTATGCCAAAGGGCCTGTCGTTCAGGACGCAGGTGGACTCCAGAGAGCCGCATTTCCACTCCTTCATCATCACCAGAGAGGATGGCTCTCGGACATACGGCTTTGCCCTCACCTTCTTTGAGGAGGTGACCAGTAAGCAGATCTGCAGCGCTATGCAGACTCTTTATCACATGCACAACGCCGAGCAGTACGACATCTTGCACACCCCAACTTCCCCGCAAGGACCCGAGGACCAGCGGCTCTCCCAGCCGCGACCCGTGCTCCACGCTGCTCCCGCCATCTCCCGTCTGCAGCGCTTCAATTCGTATGACATCAGTCGCGACACACTGTATGTGTCCAAGTGCATCTGCCTCATCACACCCATGGCTTTCGCTCAGGCCTGCAGGAAGGTGCTAGAGCAGCTTCACCAGGCTGTCACGTCTCCTCAGCCTCCACCTCTCCCGTTGGAGAGCTACGTCTACAACCTCCTGTATGAGGTGCCTCAGCCTCCCTCCGGGCGCTCGCTCAAGTTCTCAGGCGTGCACGGGCCCATCGTGTGCCAGAGGCCAAGCACTTCTGAGCTACCGCTCTTTGACTTTGCCATGGGTGAAGTGTTTCATCTGCTTGGGGTGGAGAACGTTCTTCAGCTGTTCACGTGTGCCCTGCTTGAGATGCAGATCCTGCTCTACTCACAACGTAAGTCACCGTCTTCTACCGCTACGCTCAGAGGTTTTAATGCAACCATCAGCATCCTCGTCAAGTATGTACACAACTGGCTCACACTTCAAAAACTCTAAAAACAAGTAGCTGTGGTTACATTTACTACTATAATGGTTGTATGAACTCAAGTGGTCATTCCCGGTCTCTTCTATACCTGAGTGAGAACTTGAGGTTCCCAAGGCTGCTGAACTAGTTGCTTTTCTTTTCTTTTTTCAGATAATTAAGCAAATTTTCCCAAGCAGGTATATTTAACATAAATTTGTATTTATGTGCTTTACTGAAATTTTGTAGTGATTTATCAGACCGTCATTCAAAACCCACTGACTTATGTCATTGTCAGCAGGGAAAACAACTGCTTTCATCATTAATCACTGATTTAAATCCCAAGTGCTTTAACATGTATACAAACTAAGCACCTGATTATTGGCTAATTTAATTTGCTTTGATGAAAATAGATCATTATTCCTCTTAGTCCCGGGGAGATCCGTCACTGTCTGCATGCATTCATTACTAGAGATTCATCTGAGCCATAGAAACGCTTTGATAAGCAGATGTTTTGTTTCTCAAAAAGACCGTAGAGAAGCAGGTGGCTCGTTTTAGGATGTTGGGTCGGCTGTGGTGTGTGGATCCATTACGGTAGCAAGAGAAAGCAAATGGTTTACAAAACGGCAGGGGCCGGGAGGGAAAGCTCTTGAGGGGGAAAGCTGTCGTGTTGCTAGGCAACCCGAAGACTGGGAGGATAGCGGTGATGCAGGGTGATTATTATTGGTCGGCAGTGACATCATACCTCTTTTCCTCCCTGTAAGGCTCATCGCTGCAAAGCATGTGAAGCATGCTGTTGTGTGGAACTGAGCTCTGGCGATCTTCCACTGAGAAGAAAATTCGCTACGCGTTTGAGTAAAGATGTAAGCTAGAGGCGTCCTCTACAAGCACACACAAGTGGGAACACTGTGTGCTCAAAAATAGAACAGAAGCTCTTCATTCTGATCAAAGAAAGGAAAAGGACCCAGTCTCGTTTTATTTTTCATGAAGACAAAAGCGCAATATTAAAATGACGTCTGCTGCTTTTCTGGGAAACCCATCTCATCTCAGCTGTTGGGATGAGCTAGCACGGCCATCAAAGGCATTTTCTGCCTTCATGTGATTCGTGGAAAAGTGACCGGACAGATTAAGAGAGACGAGCATGAAGGGAAAACCTGCTTACTTGAATCATGATGATGCAAATCAAAGTTAATAACACAAAGCTGTGGCCGTCTCTAAATTGCTATTTGGGCAATTATAAGTCTGTTTGTTTTTTTTTTAAGAAAAAGAAACTAAATCATTCAGTGTCCTGCCAAGGACGCCTCGACATGTGGGGAGGCTTGTATCGAACCACCAGCCTCACCGAACCACAGCGGACTGCAAATGTGGAGGCAGAGACATACACATGTACAGAGAGGTAGATTTAATTGATCTCACAGCAGCAGACATAAAAAAATAACTGGCAGAAGCGAAAAATAATCTGAATCTAAACGAGAAACCTCAGAATGATGTACGGTGATGTTAAACTTCAGCAGTGTAGGAACAGGAGCAGTGGAGACTGTTCTGTCCAAGTGGTGCTGGTTAATATGGGAATGTAGTCGTGTACTGATGTGCACCAGTAGAACATTCGTCTGATAAACAGTGGTTGTGAAGAGACATGGAAATTGGTAAATTCTTTTACACGGAGGTGAAGCACCAAGGCAGGTGAAGTGTCCATGGGCACAACAGCAGGATGAGTAGATGTGTGCGGGGATGAAACCAGCAACCTTCCTGTTCCTGGATTTACCTCCAGAGCCACAGCCCACTGAGCCCAGTGAACCTTTGCTCCTCCATCTCTTGGTGGGATAGATCGTCATGTCTAAACTACCACCAGCTAGGTTATTTAAAAATATTCTGGGCTTGCAGCTTTTCAGGTTGTTTGATCTGATGGCCTGTAACTGAGGATGGATGATGCTGGTGTGCTTGTTCCCATCCTGGGAAAGGAAGCATGGCAAGTAGGGGACAAGAGTCCTCCTCTCATGGAACATAACCAAATGAAGCCATCATGTTTATTTCTGCACCATAAGAGGAGAAGCAGAGCTGCTGCTGAATGCACAGTAGGTGTGAACAGCCTTAAGCAGGAATGCAGATGAAGAGGACGGGGCACATTTTTGCACGTGTACCAATTGGCTGAGGTGTGAACCCCTGAACTTGGGAGTGTTGCTATGTGGACTCGCGATAAAGATGTTTCATGTTGACCAGCAGGTCAGCTGTCAGCACACCTCAGTGTCTGGATCCTGCAAAGGGCTCAGACCAGATACGCCTTTCTAAGGGTGTTGTCTTTAAAGAGACGAAAACTCATGGTCTACTGAGTCCATCTGAAACATGTTACAATCTATGTTGTCTACAAATTAGAGCTGTACGATAATGGAAACATGTACACTGTGGTTCTTCTTACCCTGCAGTATATATTGCAATATTAAAAAGTACAGGTAAACATCCAAAGGGTTCAAATGAAGGCAACCATTTGGATTACCATGACCTGGATGACGAGAACCTTCACCAGCAAAGGTAAACATCCGCGAGGGCTCTCCGACAGACATGCAAGGATGGATGGAGTAGAGCCCAAATTTTTATCTGTCAGCTGCAATGAAGAGCGCATGTCTGTGATTGGTCTGCCCAAGATCATTTCTGGTTTGATGCCACTACCTTTAAATTTGTCAACATCGCCAGTATTGAGAGCAGTGAAGAAATAAGGAGGAAGAGCCACCAGAATAGGTCTGGTAGAGAATTGCTTCTCCCCACTGAGTCCGACATGACAGCAAAATCCACGTGACTTTTGAATGTTAATGCCGAAATGCAACATCATGCAGCTCTACTACAAATTCTAAACACCATTTGTAAACGGTTACTGCTTTAGATGTACTTCACTAAAATAATTGTTTCTGACTACAATCGATCTCTTGAGTTTTTCATGCAGGCTGAACATGAAAATAGTCTCCTACACCTATCTCCTGCGTTAGCATCTGATAAAAAATAGACGGTGAAAATAGGATTTCAAACGCCTGACAGATCTACTTCACACTGTCACTTAACATTCATGGACTCACCCATCTTGGCTCACAACAGGAAAGGCTGTTGTTGGTTTACCGTCCAGGAAACCGCAGAGAATGTCTCAACTAGTAGAAGCTAACTGGTAGCATTAGCAATGCCACCACACAGCAGAACTCCTTCAGGCTTGTGTTATTTGTGGAGATAAAACGTCAGTGTTGCAAATTAGAGTCGGTGGTAGAGTCACGTTGCTTTTAGCCAATCAGAAGCGAGATGTCCAAATATCAGGAAATAAGACTCCAGATCCTACCGTGTTTAGCTCAACTCTAATCTGGCTCACTTGTACAGGGTATCATTAAAAAGTCTTAAATTTGCTTTTCCAAATTTAAAGCCCTAAAAATCCTTAAAAATGACAAATAATCCTTAAATACAGTTTCCAAAGGTCTTAAATTACCAAAGACACAATAAACTAGATTATTTCTATAAAATTTTTGTGATTTTCTAGTTGGTGGTCAGCATTTTTTGTGTATGATGTTGGCGTAAGCGAAACCGTACACATTCAGTTGGTTGTGAAAGGGGGCTATTTTTAGATGAGCACATTAGCTGGTTAAGCTAGTGGGAACTTGCGCCATGGGGAAGTGGAAGTTTAATCAACACATTCTCACACCCAAGGCGTCAAAATATGACGCGCGTGACCAAGCCTCAATATATGACGATTCGGGACGCCCCAGCGCGTCAGGAGACGACGATCATTGACAAACTGGTGACGCAGCGTCCCAGAGCGTCGGTATCCGACGCTGGTGACATTAGAACTACTTGTGAACTACTTGTGAACTACTTAACCTTTCCCTCACCCCAATCCTAAACTTAAGGTCACAGTTTATGGACCTTAAGGTTAGGATTGGGGTGAGGAGAAGGTTAAATGGTCGAATAATGTCCGTGTGACAAACGTGCGTCAAACAGTGACGCCAGCGGAGGCACGTGTCCCAGCGTGTCCCTGATCGTCGTCTCCTGACGCGCTGGGGCGTCCCGAATTGTCATATATTGAGGCTTGGTCACACGCGTCATATTTTGACGCCTTGGGTGTGAGAATGTGTTAGTTTAATGGTAACTGGATGGCTAATCCCACGTTCGCGACGTGGTTAACACGGGTTCCAGGCAATAGCTAGAAATTATAGCTTAAACTTAATTTTAAAAATAGCTTAAATTTGGTCAAAGTGGCCTTAAAAACGGTCTTAAAAAGTCTTAAATTTGGCTCCCATAAACCTGCAGATACCCTGTTGTAGTTCCTGAAGCAGGGCCCCCAGAGCTTTTTTCCCCCCCAGAGTACGACTTATAAGGAATTCATTCCTACTAGAGACCACTGCTAATGTATTAAAATGTATTTATTTATTTTTAGGAAGAGGGGCAATACATATTAATGAACATTTCAATAAATGTAAATATGCCAGATTATAGCCTTGGGCTAATTTCCATCTGCAGACCCTCCGGCAGGTTGATGTTAGACACAAAGTAGTGGAAACATACAGAGAAGTTGATCTTTAACTTCTTCTGAATTGGAGGAGCTTTACAGGGCAAGGATTCCTAAATTATAAACGCACAACACCCCTCCTAAACATGCTCATTCTCTGGCGGGGCTGTCTACAACTGTTTGTGATTAAAGATGAGTCAGAATTTGTTGCAGTAAATATTACAGGTTCAATAATATCATGCTCACTTATTTTCACACAGGAATTTTACTACAGATATTTTTTTGGCCTTCTGGAAGTAATAAGAAGGCTTTGTGGGTTTCTATTTCAGAAATCTCCCAAGCATTTGTTGTCCGCAAAGCTCAGCCTGGTTTAGTTTGACCGTAGAGCTATGGTACAGGCGCCCCGTGAGGTTGATTTCAGGAGGAAGGTTTAAGAATCGTACAGCTAGATTTTCAAGTCATCTCTTGACCCGTGCCTTTGTTTAGTTATCGATCCAGCTGCACTCATTAGGTTACTCAACAGAGAGCAGCACAGACGATGTGGCTTCAGTAGAGTAATTCTTTTTGTTTGGCCTTGTTAGTCCATTTGTCACAGTGAAGTCTTTGCTCCAGAAAACTCCTGCTGCCCTGCTCATGTTGTTCATCTGATCACAGCCAATTATGTGACTGCAGCTGATGTGTGTCTGCAGTGTGCCTGCTCAGAATAACAACCAGAAGTATGAGACATCAGCAGTTAATAAAAATATCAGCTTTTTCTCACCCAACCCATCTATATGATCTTTATTCCTGTGTTATGTAAAGGGTGTGGTACAGAGGAGGTGTGCTGCTTTGCTGTTTTATTCTTTCCTTTTTTAACGTGTGTGTGTGTGTGTGTGTGTGTAACAGATTACCAGAGGCTGATGACGGTAGCAGAGAGCATCACGGCCCTCATGTTCCCCTTTCAGTGGCAGCATGTGTATGTTCCTATCCTGCCCGCCTCCCTCCTCCATTTCCTGGATGCTCCTGTGCCGTATCTCATGGGCCTCCACTCTAACGGACAGGATGACCGTACCAAGTTAGAGCTGCCACAGGAGGTACAAGCACACAGCGGTGTCTTCTTGGAGCTTCAGTTCACATAATATCACTTGACCTGACTAACTCATTCGCTGCCAGCCGTTTCCTGATTGCTAAAGCCGGGGGTCGGCAACCCTCAGCTCTGGAGCCGCATGCGGCTGTTCCATCAATCTGATGCGGCTCTCTGTGCTTGTAAAATAATGAATGGATATTTAAATAAATGCTTTATATTTTACTGCATTAATTTTACATCTGTATACCAATTCTAAATGTAAAGATTGTCTGCGTAAACCTGAACAGGTCCAACCCGGTCTTACTGTGAAACTGGGTTGACGGGTCACACTTGTGCGTAATCATGTGCGCTGTCTGAGCTGAAGAGGATGTGAGATTCTGGGATTCTCCTCAGACGGCTCCTGGATGTGTCGCCACATTGGAGACAGGAACAAGCGCTATTCAGCCAAAGTTTCATAATCAGGGAACATTTTCTAAGTGACAAGTCTCGCTTCAGTCGGAGGAATCTTCCTGCATGCGCTCTGGTTCTGCGACGCGCTCCAAGCCCCCCTCCACATCGTCAGCTCGCTGTGCACCGTACGTACGCGCTGACAGTGAGCTGCGCTGAGCAGTGTCCAGCTCAGATGTTCAGATGGGAATCTTTTCTTGGGTGATTTAGCTACATCTGCGATGTGCGAAACTAATAAAGTGTCAGTTCGTCTGCATGCGTCGGGGTAATTCTTTCTATTCTTTCTCCATCAAAATAAACGATCAAATACGGGAACTATCCGATCAACACAACACAAGCCCTGCTTTTAACTGTTCTGTTTTCTTGTGAAAATTGTTGCAAATAGATATAATTTAACTTGATTAACACCAAAGCCAGGCGCACTGCGCCATTATCTCCGTCACTGTAAACAAGGGAAAAACAAAATGATCGGATCCTTTTCTGACCTTCCCCACCTACAAAGTTTAATTACAACATTCAAACACGACAGAGCCTGGATTTGTATTCTGAACAGTCTAAACATGTTTTAAAAAGAAACGTATGACAAAAGTGGCACCTGCTCAGTAAAACCACCAACAGGGTGAAAAATATCAAAATATTGTAGGCAGAGACGGGCTACAACTTCTGGATCCACTTTATATAAATCTTTTTATTGATTATCGTCTTATGAATGATAACTTTGACGTACACGAGTGACCGGTACTGGCTGCTGTCACCTGTTGTGAGCAGCGCTCTGCTGTCTGAGGGTAGGCCCCGCCCACAACGCCGCGGCTGCTGTGGCTCCCAGTGTTTTCTTTACTGTGGGAAACGGGTAGTAATGGTTCTTTGATGGGAACAGGTTGCCGACCCCTGGTTTAAGCCCTTCACTGCCAGCGTTTCTCACCGTTTTTACTGTTTTTTTAAGAGTCACAGAACGTTGCGCTCTAGGATGATGTCGACGCCAAAACAACCAAAACAAAGCGGAGACTCATCTCTTACATCAGGAAGAATCCGCGCGTTTCGAGCGTTATCCGTTCTTTCATAATCCGTTGTTGAATTGTGATCGGCAGAAGCTTCTCCGGTTCGCGCCTCGCTTTTTTTACAGCAGCGGCCCAAAACGATCTCCTAACACATGGATGTTCTGCTTCCTGATCACGTTACCTATGCAGATGAAGATCGGCTTTAGAGCTGGGATGTTTGTTCTCACGGTGCGGGGGCTTGTTCCGATGCCCACACAGCAAAAAAACGCCAATGAGTCGTCAATGGCAGTGAATGAGTTAATACTGCACCTAATTTGATATAACACAAGTTTGCTGTATTTGTTGTTATGAGGGGTCTGCACTAACTTAAATGATCATTTTGTTCCATTTTTCTTCATCTTGCCTTATTTTCAATTCTCCTGAGTCAGTTTGCTGATGCCAAACATTCTTTTCCCTTCTGTTCTCTCAGTCCTCTTCTGACTGCGTTTTCCAGCTACTTTAGGGTGTCTAGTTACTCCAGATAATTGGAAACCAAGCCCATTTATATTTAACCTGCATCATTGGCTCCCAGCATTGTGCGGCAGTTAGACTTTTCAGTCAGCTCATTATCAGTCGGTGTTTTGGTTTCCTGATAATGGTGTAATCTTCTATCCGAGATATGAAGAGTAAATAAAGTTTAAATTAAGATAGAAAATAAAAGCTCTGGAAATGAAAATCATTGCCATTTCTGTTTCTTTTCCCTCCCTCCAGGCCAACTTGTGTTTTGTGGACATTGATAACCACTTCATTGAACTGCCAGAGGAGTTGCCTCAGTTTCCCAACAAGCTCGAGTTCATTCAGGAGATCTCGGAGGTGCTCATGTCCTTCGACGTTTCCCCAGAGGGAAGCATCCAGTCCAGCGACAGCCAGGCCAAGTACCGCAGCTTCCGATCCGTTGACATGGTCTCCGACAAGCGCAACGGCAACCTAGCCTCGCCCCTGAACTCCTACCTGCTGAGAGAAAATCAAACCATCGCCAGGCTGCAGGCACTGGTCAAGAGGACGGGCGTCAGCCTGGAGAAGGTGGGCGATGGCGTCATCTCATGAATTAAAAACCGGCCGCTTGGATGAGCGTGTATCATGTTGGGCTTAATTTTTAATGAAAGTGAGATCAGCGGCGAGTACAACTCTGATGTAATCAATACACTGAAATGACTCTTCCTTTTATAGCCTTGCTGTAACAGTGAATGTACGTGCTCTTGCTTTTATTTGCATGTTTATTCTGATCTAATACAAGCTGTACAGATTCCTATTAGTGCTTCGTTCTCGTATGGTTGGAAGAGTGACTGTGGTGATTATTCACCAGTGCGATTCACCTAACCCCCATTAGAAACTTTCTTGCTCCTGTTAAGAGACAGGCAGCAGCATTTTTTACTCTCTGAAGCTGGGAGATGCTGGCGTCGCTTATTCCTGCACAGAGACCATTACAGCAGTCGAAGGCGTGAATGTCCCACTGGCTTGCTTACAAAAAAACTGAACATCAAGTTTCATGTTTGTCAAAAATCAAAACTCATATCCTTCACTTCCTGTCCCTGTTTCCTCATCATGTTTGCTCAAATCAGCTGGAGGTGAAAGAGGACGCCAGTTGCAACAAGGACGTGCGAGTTCAGTGTGACGAGGACGAGCTGAAGATGCACCAGCTCAACATCCAGGTGCGCGAGGTCTTCGCCAACCGGTTCACCCAGATGTTCGCCGACTACGAGGTTTTTGTCATTCAGCCCAGCCACGACAAAGAGTCCTGGTTCACCAACCGAGACCAGATGCAGAACTTTGACAAGGTGTGGTGCTGCTTTAGTAACGAGTGGCTTCAACTTTCATCTGTTGGCACTACATCATAAATATCACCACTGTGTGTGTGCGTGTGTGTGCGTGTGCGTGTGCGTGTGTGTGTGTGTGTGTGTGTGTGCGTGCGTGCGTGCGTGCGTGTGTGTGCGTGTGCGTGCGTGTGTGCGTGTGTGTGTGTGTGTGTGTGTGCAGGCCTCCTTCCTGTCAGACCAGCCCGAGCCCTACCTGCCCTTCCTGTCGCGTTTCTTGGAGACTCAGATGTTTGCCTCCTTTATCGATAGTAAGATACTTTGTCATGATGACGAGGACAAGGAACCCACTCTCAGGGTGTTTGATGCCCGTGTGGAAAAGATCCGCATGCTGAACGTCCGTACGCCAACTCTGCGGACGTCCATGTACCAAAAGTGCACCAACATAGAAGAATCAGGTAAGCTGTTGATGATATAGCAGCTTTGGAAAGGATTTGTACCTTGGTTCCAGATTCTTTACAGTGTGATTGCTCATGATCATCGAAGAAGTCTTTTGAAAATGAAGTCTTTATTTTTGACAGACTCAGAGATTTGCTCTCGTCTGATCAGTGACGGGTAAATGCCGTCTTGTTCACAGACCACCCGCTTAAAAAACAATATGAAAAAGCTGATTTTGTTGCTCCTGGACCTCGGATGATTGGGCGGGAGAATGACACGACCGACCATCGTAATATTTATCTTTATGCTCAACATCCATGGGTGGCGGCTCTTTGTGTGTGTGTGTGTGTGTGTGTGTGTGTGTGTGTGTGTGTGTGTGTGTGTGTGTGTGTGTGTGTGTGTGTGTGTGTGTGTGTGTGTGTGTGTGTGTGTGTGTGTGTGTGTGTGTGTGTGTGTGTGTGTGTGTGTGTGTGTGTGTGTGTGTGTGTGTGTGTGATGTCCGATACACTCACGGGTTGGGTGGAATAACTCTACATAAATAAATGTGTTTTTTATTCAAAAAAAAAACTTACAGTATATAAATTGTGAAAAATATGAACATCTGTTTAATATATTAATCATAGTTTTGGTAATCTGATTACTTGTGTCAACTCTTTTCAACCTGTCAGTATTTCCCTGCTTTATGTTCTCTCAGAGACTATTTGAATTCTCTTTATTGACATTTGTTTTCTCACATTGTTTCTTTGGTTCCCACAGCCCTTGTGTGGGAGTATTTTTGATCAGGCTTCACAAATCGCTGTCTGAAGGAACATTCTGCTTCTTTTGAAGGGGAAAAAAAAGCTTTTATCTGTTTCTTTTGGTTCGGTGGGTGTCGGGGAGGAGAAGGTTGGATTTTAGGATGTCCTCTTTGTTCTGCTGTCAGCTTGGTTTTTAAGTCTGACATTATTTGATCACAGTCGTACTTATTTAGATGTTTTTGGCAGATGATTGGAATGATGTGGTTTGTCACAGAATGGGTTTAAAGTTATTTAGTTTTAAAGACACCTTGCATAATGTGCTTAAACCCACGCCTGAATCAGTGTGATGCAACGAAAACTATTTCTTCCACAGAGAAAGCCATCGAGATGAGAGTTACAAAGATCGACCACACCGCCCTGCACCCCCACCTGCTGGACATGAAGATCGGTCAGGGCCGATACGAGCAGGGCTTCTTCCCCCGGCTGCAGTCCGACGTGCTCTCCAGCGGGCCCACCAGCAACAAGTAAACACACACTCGTTCTCTAGTGTTTCCTGTTTGTGTTTTAGCTGAAAGGGTGTTTTTAATGTAGCGTTTGATTCCAGGTGGGCCAAGAGAAGCGCTCCGGCTCAGTGGAGGAGGAGGGATCGACAGAAGCAGCACGCTGAGCATCTTTATTTAGACAATGACCAGAGAGAGGTGGGAAGTCCTTTTATGGGATGTTTCATGACTTTGTTCATTTGTTCTGTCTCAGTTTAGATGTCTCACTTTGCATGATTTTAATCTTAATCTGCCTTCCTTCTTCACTCCATTCTCTGCACTTCCTCCTCCCTTCACACATCTGCTCTTTGATTTATGTGTGTGTGTGTGTGTGTGTATATATATATGTATATATATATATATACACACACACACATAATTTTTTTTCTTTCTTGTGTCTATTTTTCTTCCTTCCTTGCACTCGCGCTCCTCACACACTCTCAGCATGTAGAGTGTTTGTTTCCGGAGCCGCAGCTCCTGCTGTTTCTTGACTACTACTGGCTCTCGCAGTCCTTCAAGCCCTGTCTAAAGTCGGTGACTGTGGACGTGGTATGTGCCACAGAGCAGATGAAAATGTCCACTCATAAATGGCCTTTATCTCCCTCTGCTTCTGTCCCTTCCTGTCATTATTACCTCCTGCATTGCTGTTGACCGCAGTCATGATGACCAAGATAATTGTACAAAGTAGAAGGATTTACTGTAAAATAAACTCCCATATTTCCGCTCGTCTCTGATAACAGCTGCATTTAGATTTGTATTCCTAGTAAATAAAGCAACTCTTGCCAGGGGCCACGGGCAGATTTCTCCATCTTGTTTTCAGTTAGCTGATTTACTTTGGTTTCTTATCAGAAATACATCCAGGAAGCCAGAAACCTGGGGACCACCATCAGACAGCCCAAACTGTCCAACCTGTCGCCCTCTGTGATCGCTCAGACCAACTGGAAATTTGTTGAAGGATTGTTGAAGGAGTGCAGGAACAAGGTTTGTGTTCGACTTTCGGGTCGGCTCTGATCAATAAAGTCTGAGAATCTGTGTTTTTTTTTAAATATGTGACCCATGTTAGTTTTAACACATTTAAATGTCATTAGAAGGGATTTTGCTCATCAACAAAACATCTTAAAACTAATCGCTTGTCCTGATGAGTAAAGGAACGATTGAGTTGATTTCTGAGTAACAACACGGGCGTGGGCTGCTTTTGTTTGTCCGTAGACGAAGCGAATGTTGGTAGAGAAGATGGGTCGGGAGGCTGTGGAGCTGGGTCACGGAGAGGTCAGTATCACGGGCGTGGAGGAGAACACTCTGATCGCGAGCCTCTGTGACCTGCTGGAGAGGATCTGGAGCCACGGGCTGCAGGTCAAACAGGTCGGGATCATTGTCAGCTCAATCTAACCTCAACAGGTGATTGGTTTAGTTAGCTCTCAGAGCTAACAATGTGTGTTTGTGATTTAGGGTAAATCGGCCTTGTGGTCCCACCTCCTGCATTACCAGGACAGCAAAGAGAAGAACGCCACCCCAGGAAGTTTGGGACCTCCAGGTAAAAATCGCACATCTTTACATTTGACAAGCACAATCAGTTGGGTATCCTTTCCCCCTCTAATCATTCATATTCATCATCTTCACCAGGTTTCATCCATGACACTGAGCGACGGAAATCTGATGGGGGTGGGTCAGCCATGCCCCCCCTTAGGATCTCTCTGATCCAGGATATGAGGTGAGGATTTCTGTGGAAATGTAAAGGATAATGGAAAGTTGCAGTGTGGTAGCGTCATCCTAGATGCGATAATCAGATTAGGAATGTATCAAATTAGTTAACACTGCCCCCTTGTGGTACACCGGAGAAAAACAGTTACAGCATTTATAGTGTCATGTCTAGATTTAAAGCTTTTCACCTGGACAAAAAGGTACTACTGTTTACCACAATAATTCTCATTTGTCTGTAAAATTTTCAGAAATAATACATAAGTAATGCAAGTTTGCTGCAAATCTGTTTTGGTTCAAAAACTAAAGTATAACTTTGAGATCTTGTTTCTCAGATAAAAATCATTTTCAGTTCTTCTTACATAATAATCATCAGTTAGTTTGAATATTAGCCTGCAGTCCTGTCATAAATGTATGCGTTAGTAGTTAATGTATCGGTTATTTTTGTTTTTGATGGATCGCCTATTTACCAGCCAAGGAAGGGTTTCCTTATGACTTGTTGGCTGCAGCAACGATGAAGATCCCTGAGATTCTTTTGGGTTTCTATATGATTGTTCCCACATCTTCTAGAATAAGCTGTTGCTTTTTACAAACATGTTTTGTAAAACTTAATTTAGCACAGCTGTGATGCTCTATTTACCTCTATAATTCACTCTCCTGCTCTCTTAATCTGTTGTAAAATGTGTCTGAGAGTAAGAGATGCTTAGAATTTCTAAAACAATTATTCAAGTCTTCAGTTATTTAAGAAAATCATGAGCCTCTGTCCTAATATCTGCTTTGACTAAAGCTTTATTTACTTTATTTTAGGCAATAAATGTATTAAACGATTTTAATTATAAACAAAGTGTAGCAACAATAATAGCATCACCATCAGACGCTTATTTAAATCATTAAGGGAGATGCCAGAGGAATCGAACAATCTTTCTTTCTTTCTGGTGCACATAAAATCAGTTTTTTGGCACCAGACAGGAATTTGGGCAAACATGGAAAAGGAGAGGGATATTATAAGAGACGACCGACACTCCTCGTGCTCCGCTTTATGCCCCACACCTTTGCTATCGTAACCGGCCACAGCTAAGGGATCTGGACTTGTGTGGAGAAGATGCAGAGTGAGTCTGCAGGGAGCAGCGTGTTACTTCCAGCCTAATTACCAGACCTCCTGTCTGTCTGACTGAGACGAGAGGGAGGGGGGGGGGGGGTCATCTCAGGGCATACCCACATGAACCCGTCTTCGTGTTTAAGTGTCTGACTGCATCATCATACTCCCTCCAGCATCTCTTACTCTGTTCTAATCATGGATTGTTGTAAGACAGACAATGGCGTGTCCAACAGACGGCAACAACTCCTGTTTGTTGTTGTCAGCAGAACATTTTCTTGTGTTGCTATGGCGATAACCCGCAGATAAATCTGGGGTGTGAGTGAGGGTGGAGATGGAGGGGGGGATGGAAGGTGGAGGAGATGGGTACGGCACAGGTGGAGTGGAAGGGAATGTGTCTGGACGTCGGAGACATGATAGTGGCTCGGAGCCACGACAGTCTGCTGCTGCTGAAGCGTTGGGAATGCTTCCCCACCAGAGCTGTGGAATATTGGAATATTCAGTTGCTAGTATGTTAAATAGTTACAAGTAGATTTTGAATAAAAAAGAGAAACATTTCTATGTGAATATGTTGTTTTAGTTCCACTTTACTGTAGGCTTGGGCGGTATCCAAATCTGAATGCCGTCTAGCTTCCTCCACATTTTACCGCGGTGTATTACCGGGACTAATTTAAAAATGAGCCTCAAGTGGAGTTACCAAGCAGCTGGTTTGGACTTTCTCTGTTCAGAAACTGAATAACAAACACCACTACTAAAACGATAACAACATAGCACACAAATTATATTAATAACTTTCAAAAATATGCGGCTTATAAAAAGATTTTTCGCCTGAAAAACCAGCATGTCTACCTAGGGATGCGCGATATACGGGCAGCAATATCGGTATCGGCCGATGTTGGTCATCTTGGAATATATCGGTATTGGTCCGATAAATAAAACTGGGCCGATATTAACAACCAGTATTTTTTCCATCTTGTTTCCGTTTGTGCATCTGTTTCAGAGGGTTAGGGGAGGCGATGATGTGTAATCGTTTAGTCCTGTGACAGTGATGGTGATCATCTCAGAGGCGTAAATGTGTGGTGTGTGTGTGTGTGTGTGTGTGTGTGTGTGTGTGTGTGTGTAACATACTGTAAATTCCACTTCATAGGAATAAAGCAAAACATTCAAAAGTTCATCTTGCATAATTTCTGTCTATACAAAATTAGCAGATTTCAGAAGCGTAAATTGGTATCGGCAAATATCGGTTATCGGCCATAACAGTGATATTAACATCGGTATTGGCCCAAAAAAATCATATCAGTGCATCCCTTTGTTTATCTTTTCCGGCTTCAACATGGGATATTATGGACCGACTGCTGAAAACTCGCATCGATGACCTTGTAGCAGCGACACAAGGGCACTTCAGGGCTAGTCGCGACATCTGAGGGAGGCTGGCAGCTTATTTCCACCAGAAGAGCGCGGCGGCGTCTCTTTTAATAACAAGCTCCAAATAAGGCTGCTATATCCACTCCAACTCGCTCTTCTGCTGTGACATAAGGCATCTTTCACGGTCGTCTTTTGTTTGCACAAATGACCTCATCAGTGTTTACTGGCTCTTCTTTTAAGTTTGCTTCGAACCCGAAACACCCCCAAACTGCAGAAGTTGTGTTGTTTTCAGACACCAGAGTTGGCTGGTGCGAGAGCGGCCATCTTTCTCTTGGCGCGTCTTCATGCCGTCACGTGTTGACGACACGTTCATAAACTTCATGGAACATCTCTAAAGTTTGGACAAAACATTTTAAACGATTTAAGTAAAACTGAAAATTCAACCATGCATCTCTTTTATACATTAAACTGCATTTATTTTACTTATTTAAATTTTTTTAATCCTCGTCTCCTACGTGCACTGTTTTTTTCATGATGGTATTGGAACCGGCACGCTGCTATTTTTTAACGCCGGTGTTGTATCAGGGTGCCATGCCAGTGGAAGGAGCATACCAGCAGATAATGTGTATGTGCATTATCTGCTGGTATGCTCCTCTGACTGGTATGTTGTCACTGGGGTTAGGGTAAGAGTTAGAGGTGCAGGGTAGGATTACAACTACGTCCGTCTGACGTGCCTGGCCTGTCAGACTGGCATGCGCTGTGACATGGATATGCCAATCTGACGAGGTATGGTGCTTCGACAGAACACTGGCTGCACACGGTAGTACCACCCAAGCCTATAATCAACTGATCCTTTAACCTGTTCTTTTTTTATTTGGCAGACACATCCAGAATATCAGTGAGATCAAGACGGACGTGGGCAAAGCCAGAGCCTGGGTTCGACTCTCCATGGAGAAGAAGCTGCTTTCTAGACATCTGAAGCAGCTTCTGTCGGACCACGAGCTTACCAAGTGAGCACAATTCAAACCCCACAGCCAGGGCTGAAACTTTCCTTGTGCTTTGATTCTTTTAGGAAATCGCTGTGTCTCCTTCTGCCTCTTGTCCTGACCTCCTTTCTGTGCTTGTGCAGGAATGTTTGTCTCGTATGGAAAAAGGACGGTAGTGTGTGATCTGGTCATTTATAAAACATTACCTCGTCTGAAATTTCAAAGTAACTTACTGTAGTCCAGACGGCGTCAATAATTCACAGCCCTCTTTATAATTGATATCTGAGTGACAATCTGGGTTAGGAGGGTTTCTGTCTGCCTTCCAGGTCCTATTATGTCGCTTCTCTACATGAAAATCTTTTTTTCCCCTTCTTTCAGAAAACTCTACAAGCGCTACGCCTTCCTGCGCTGTGATGACGAGAAGGAGCAGTTCCTCTACCACCTCCTGTCCTTTAACGCTGTGGACTACTTCTGTTTCACCAACGTCTTCACAACCATTAGTGAGCGCCGTTAAACAGGCTTTTAACATATTACTGATCTGAGTATCCCATAGTAACATTTATTCCCCCCTCCGTTTCCCAGTGATCCCCTACCACGTAGTGATTGTCCCCAGTAAGAAACTGGGTGGCTCCATGTTTACAGCCAACCCCTGGGTGTGTGTTTCTGGTGAGCTGTCGGAGACCGGCGTGCTCCAGGTGCCCAGAAACACTCTGGAGATCACTTTTGAGGTTTGTATTAATTCTCTTTCAATCTGAATTATAATTCCTAAAAATTTGACTCCATTTTTAAACCAGGAAACCTAAAAAAAATCACAACAAAGCTTCTGTCTTTTACAGCAGAGAGCTTTTAGAAGAATTTTTCTGTCTGCTTTACATAAATTTAACAGATTTTGACTCACAAAATTTCACAAGTTTGGAGCACAGTGTGTTATCATTAGAGGTTATCTGCTTCATGCTTTAAAAACATCATCCTGCTTTAGTCTTCATTTACCAGTATTCTGCAATAAAGCTGCAATCTGGAGTTTTGCCCCTTTCAGGAATTATGTATGCTTTTCTTTTTCAGAAATCCATAAAAGTGGTTGTCTCATCCTGTACTATAATGTAGGCAATACGCCCGCTAGGGATGTGTACTGGTGAAATTTTGGCGATATGAAATTTATCACAAAATTATCACGATACCTAGATGCATCTAGGATTATGTTAAGATATTGGAAGACTAAAGTACGCCCTGGGATTGATGAATGGATTGCAGCGATGGCGGAAACAGCTGCTTATGAGGCCCTGCTCAGCAACCTGAAAGGGGACAAGGACACAGACTGGAACAGCTTTTGGGGAACATTGAAAAATGTTACATAAAACTTTGAAATCTAATGCCTCACTGCCTGGATTTTGGATTCCTAACTGACCCTGAATTAAGTATGGCTACTGGTCAATGTAGCTGTGACAGCTGAACCCGAAACTCTTAAGCCTGGTTTATGCTTCTTCGTCAGCTCCGCAAGGGACAGACACGCACGGATTGACGGAAGCGTTTTGCTCTCATACTTCTCCGTCTCCTGGAGAGTGTTGCAAAGCAATTGCCCGGCAGGACAACAGAGGGCGTAGCGCTGTTCTGTGGTATCCTGTCATGTATCGGTCCAAGATCGTGTGTTTATATTGTGTTTTTTGTATTTAAGAGATTTTTTAACACGGACATATTTGTCTCTCATTCCACCTTTCCTGTCATTTCCCTCCACAAATAAAACGCTTGCTGCGCATCTTTTCACTCCTCCAGTCACGGGGGAATTAAACGTTCATGATTTTAGAGTTTTTTCACGAGGTATTCTTCAAACTTCTCCGTGTCTGCCGCTAGTTATCCTCGGTTCTCCTTATGTTTTTGAGGGCGCACTGGCAGAGCTGTAAACAGCGGCGTCCTGACCAATCACAAGCTTGCGTAATCTGTCTCGTTCGACGGATGTTTAAAAAAGAGAGCTCGACTCCGTCCGTCCTTGCGGAGCTCTCCGGCAGGCACACAAGGACGTTGCGTGTCTCCGCACTGACGCAGACGGAGAAGCATAAATCAGGCTTAAGTCGTTGGTACCCTGGAAGAGAAAGGGGGGGTGGGGGGTGCACAAGCCTGTGTGTTTTCTTTTGTTTTTGTATGTTATAAAAAATCTGAAAATAATAAAAACTTTAATTATAAAAAAAAATTATCACGATACAAAGGAGATGATGCAATGTATCAATATATTGCGATACATTCAGTCAGATGTTATTAGCAATTTTGTTAGACTGAATTTATTGTAGGAAAATTCAATTATCAGCAAATAATTGACGGAACTAGCTAGGTTTTGAATGCAAACACGGTCAAGGAACACTCACCCCCCTCCCCTGTGGTATCTTCTGCTGGAAACGTAAACCCGCATTTCAAGAAGGTACGAGATGGTGCTAAACACCAGTCGCTGTTTTCTAGGTCCAAACGTCTTTTGTTGTCTGTGACTGTTTTTCTTTTTGAGACTCGGGTTGAGCTGCCTGTTTCTCCTTCTCTGGTATAACTGAGAGGAGAACCTCTCACACCAGTGGTGTTCTGTTGCTAAATATGTGAGTGTGTAATGAATGAAAGATATAGGAAAAGATGGAAGTGCTGCAGTTTGGCAAGGCTGACAACCGGATGGTTCAACAGTTGCCAAAAGCAACTGTTGAACCATTTTGGACATGTTATTGGCTGAGGTTTTTAGACAAATACGACAGAACCACTTTATTCAAATATTTTTTGGTTTTAATCTCAATAATATATTAATAACTACACTATGTTAGAACATTGTTGAGAGGCATGAAAAATAATGTTTCAAGCAAATTTGTTTTTCAAATTCGCCATTGTAGCTTTAAAAGCAACGTTTGCATAAATTATGAAATGTAAAGCCCATTTATCACCTGCTTTATTTTTATGCTTTTTTGTGATTCTGATTAATAGTACAAAGCTCAGGATTATGGACCGTAAATAAATAAAAGGGAAATGCTTTTATAGACTGCAAGAATTGGAAAAGCAAAGTAGGCGGAGCAGCGTCAGGCCAACTTGTTTTAGAATATACTTATTTACACAATTTAAAACTCTGAAAATGCTTCAGAATGATTTGATAAAGTGGAGATGAATAATCAAGAAAAGTTAAAGCTAAAATTGCATAAATCTACTATTTGCACGAAACCAGACAGCCCTTAAACAACTCCTGATGTCTGTGTGTCTCCTTCTGCTCCAGTGCCAGAACCTGGGCAAGCTCACCACGGTGCAGATGGGTCACGATAACTCAGGTCTCTACGCAAAGTGGCTCGTGGAGTTTGTTGTGATTCGCAATGAGATCACAGGGCACACTTACAAGTAAGCTACCCTCATATGGAAAAAAAAAACCCTGCCAGTTGTGAAGTGATGGTTTTGTAAAGAAGAGCTCCTTACGCGCCTGGTGTCAGGTTTCCGTGTGGCCGGTGGTTGGGGAAGGGCGTGGATGATGGCAGTCTGGAGAGGATACTGGTGGGAGAGCCGATGACCCCCAGCACAGAGAATGACGAGAGGATGTGCCGCACACCGCCGATGCAGCAGTCTCCTGGGATGATGAGGAGATTTGTTACCATTTCACCAAGCAGCAAACCAAGTAAGCTGAATGCTTTTTAAACGGGACGTTGCTATTTTCCTTCATTTGTTTTTTACGATTCTTTAAAATAGAATCGAACCAAGTTGGGGGGGATTTCCTCCCTGAGTCTGTTTGGGGCGTCTGCGTTTACGTTTTTCTTCCTCAGAGTTGAACCCAGGGCAGATTCAGGAGGGAGTAGGCGAGGCCATCAACGGGATTGTGAAGCACTTCCACAAACCGGAGAAGGAGGTGAGAGAGCAGCCATGTAGACAGGCTCAAACATGTACTTTTATTATTCCTCACAAATGAAGAAAAGCAGTTGTGTGCTCAGGCCCCCCCTCAAGACCCCCCACTTACAGACTATACATAAAGTCTTATGGACTCCTATGAAGCCTAGTCCTCTTCCTGTCCTCAGATAGAAACACTTATAATTACTGCATATTGAGGCAGTTGGAGAGATTTCTTTAAGTAAAAGGAGATTCTCATGGAGGATTTTTAGGTGTATTATAGCTTAATTATAGGGCTTAAAGAATAATTCAATTATTCTACTTCAAAGGACATTTACAGGGAACTCCCTTCACTTTTTGCTCCACCCCTTCTACAGACCAGACAAGGAAACAGGCTTCAAGCACAACAAGTATCTCTTAAGCTAAAATGTGACTGATAATATTTTAGGTAAATATAGTTATGTTAACATGTGTGTATTTGTGGTTTGTCTGCAAACTCCCATAGTGCCAAAGATGAAGTGGTTGTTGGATCTGAGCAGTGGTTAGGTAGGAAACAAGGTGATGAATAAAAATCTTTACACCTTTGCGTATCTGTTCGTTCCACAGAGAGGCAGCCTGACCCTCCTCCTGTGCGGGGAGTACGGCCTTGTCTGGGCTCTGGAGCAGGTGTTCCAACACGGTTTTAAATCACCTCGACTCTTTAAGAACGTCTTCATCTGGGACTTCTTGGGTAAAACCTTCATCTTAAACAAACGTCAGCTAAACAATAGACATTAAAGGCATATTGGCAGTTTTGGCTTGCTTGTAGCACCCTCTAGTGTCCGTTTAGTAGAACCAAAAGCGGAACCTATCTCCTCGCTTTGCGTTCGTCTTTTAAACACCTTTAACAGCTAAAATGTAATTGAATTGATTTAGTTGCTATTTTTGAAATGCAATCTGTCTTTCTGATTTTCTCATGCATGCAGAATGTGAAAATAGTCTTTTACCCTATTAAAAATTAAATGGGGAAACGCTTGGGTAAGAAAAAGCCACACAGGTCTTCGTCATGGTGTAAGTTAGCATTCATGGACGCACCCACCTTTACTCGCAAAGGGAAAAGCTGTTGTTGGTTTAGCGTCCAGGAAACTGCAGAGAACCGCTCTGCAAGTAGACGCTAACTGTTGTAACGTCCGTCTAAAGACAAGAATCTACCTCTCTGCGTCTCTTAATCTTCCAAGCTGCAGGAAAGATTAAGAGACGCCGAGAGGCAGATTCATGTCTGTAGATGACCAGTCACCGAAAAGTTCATTATGTAGGTGAAAACTGACCATTTCTGGACGTTACACTGTTAGCATCAGTAACTCTACACCAGGGGTGTCAAACTCAAACTCACACGGGGCCGAAATGAAACTCTGGGACGGAGTCGAGGGCCAAACTTAATATTTTTTTTAAAAGTGACGGCAAATTTGCACATTTTCCTTATCAACATATATGCAATTTTGAACCTTTAAATTTGGAAACAAACATATTTCTGCATTAACACTGAATGTGGAATAACCAAATTACACACGAGCAAGTCAGTTTTAACCCTCTGATGCATGAATTATGAGATCTTCAACCATTATTTTTTAAACAATTTTTTTCATTCATCTTTAGGTGTGAATTAAACAAATTTCAACAAATATTTTTGTAACATTTTGTTAATTTACAAATACTTTATTACATGTCCATCTCAGTGGACAGCGTGCAATCTGAACATGAAATATGTTGGCTTGCCTTACTGAAGTCCAACTGGAGAGGCTCACATGCAATAAAGTCTTCAACAGCTGTGCTTAATAGCAAAAATAAATAAATAACAATTTTGAGTACCTGTCCACTGTAGTGACCATTATGCATCAAAGGGTTAAATAAAAGGCATCAGTGGTATTCATTACTTGTGGTATAATCATTCGTTCGTTCGTTCGTTCGTTCGTCTTCCTCCGCTTATCCGGGTCCGGGTCGCGGGGGCAGCATCCCAATTAGGGAGCTCCAGGCCGTCCTCTCCCCGGCCTTGTCCACCAGCTCCTCCGGCAGGACCCCAAGGCGTTCCCGGACCAGATTGGAGATGTAACCTCTCCAACGTGTCCTGGGTCGACCCGGGGGCCTTCTGCCGGCAGGACATGCCCAAAACACCTCCCCGGGGAGGCGTCCAGGAGGCATCTGACCAGATGCCCAAACCACCTCAACTGGCTCCTTTCGATCCGGAGGAGCAGCGGTTCTACTCCGAGTCCCTCCCGAATGTCCGAGCTCCTCACCCTATCTCTAAGGCTGAGCCCGGCCACCCTACGGAGGAAACTCATTTCGGCCGCTTGTATCAGCGATCTCGTTCTTTCGGTCATTACCCAAAGCTCATGACCATAGGTGAGGATTGGGACGTAGATCAACCGGTAAATCGAGAGCCTGGCTTTCTGGCTCAGCTCCCTCTTCCCCACGACAGATCGGCTCAGCGTCCGCATCACTGCAGACGCCGAACCAATCCGCCTGTCGATCTCCCGATCCCTCCTACCCTCACTCGTGAACAAGACCCCGAGATACTTAAACTCCTCCACTTGAGGTAGGACCTCTCCCCTGACCCGGAGGTGGCAAGCCACCCTTTTCCGGTCGAGAACCATGGTCTCAGATTTGGAGGTGCTGATCCTCATCCCAGCCGCTTCACATTCGGCCGCGAACCTACCCAGCAAGAGCTGAAGGTCAGAGCTGGATGAAGCTAGGAGGACCACATCATCCGCAAAAAGCAGAGACGAGATTCTCCTGCCACCAAACTCGACACACTCCACACCACGGCTGCGTCTAGAAATTCTGTCCATAAAAGTGATGAACAGAACCGGTGACAAAGGGCAGCCCTGGCGGAGTCCAACCCTCACTGGGAACAGGTCCGACTTACTACCGGCTATGCGGACCAAACTCACGCTCCTCTGGTAAAGGGACTGAATGGCCCTTAACAGAAAGCCACCCACCCCATACTCCTGGAGCGTCCCCCACAGGGTGCCCCTGGGGACACGGTCATAAGCCTTCTCCAAATCCACAAAGCACATGTGGATTGGTTGGGCAAACTCCCATGCCCCCTCCATCACCCTTGCAAGGGTATAGAGCTGGTCCACAGTTCCACGGCCAGGACGAAAACCACATTGCTCCTCCTCTATCTGAGATTCAACTATCGATCGGACCCTCCTCTCCAGTACCTTGGCGTAGACCTTTCCAGGGAGGCTGAGGAGTGTGATCCCCCTATAGTTGGAACACACCCTCAGGTCACCCTTCTTAAAGATGGGGACCACCACCCCGGTCTGCCACTCCCTAGGAACTGCCCCCGATGACCACGCAATGTTGTAGAGACGTGTCAACCATGACAGCCCTACAACATCCATAGCCTTGAGATACCCAGGACGAACCTCATCCGCCCCCGGGGCTCCGCCGCTGTGTAGTTGTTTGACTACCTCAGCAACTTCTGCCCCCGAGATCGGACAGTCCATCCCCAGGCCTCCCAGCTCTGGTTCCTCCTCGGAATGCGCATTGGTGGGATTGAGGAGCTCCTCAAAGTATTCCTTCCACCGTCCGACTATAGCCTCAGTTGACGTCAGCAGCTCCCCATCCCCACTGTAAACAGTGTGAGCGAGTTGCTGCCTTCCTCTCCTGAGGCGCCGGACAGTTTGCCAGAACCTCTTTGGAGCCGATCGATAGTCTTTCTCCATGGCCTCACCAAACTCCTCCCACGCCCGAGATTTTGCCTCGGCAACTGCCACTGCTGCACCCCGCTTGGCTATCCGGTACCTGTCTGCTGCCTCCGGAGACCCACAGACCAGCCACGCCCTGTAGGCCTCCTTCTTCAGCCTGACGGCTCCCCGAACCTCTGGTGTCCACCAGCGGGTACGGGGGTTGCCACCATGACTGGCACCGGCCACCTTACGACCACAGCTAGCAACAGCCGCCTCGACAATCGCAGAGTGGAACAAGGCCCACTCGGACTCAATGTCCCCCACTGCTCTCGGGACGTGGTCAAAGCTCTGCCGGAGGTGGGAGTTGAAGACCGTCTTGACAGGTTCTTCTGCCAGGCGTTCCCAGCAGACCCTCACTATGCGTTTGGGTCTGCCAGGTCTACGCGGCATGTTCCCTTGCCATCTGATCCAACTCACCACCAGGTGGTGATCAGTTGACAGCTCCGCCCCTCTCTTCACTCGGGTGTCCAAAACATACGGCCGCAGGTCAGATGATACGACTACAAAGTCTATCATCGACCTGTGACCTAGGCTGCCCTGGTACCAAGTGTACCGGTGGGCATCCTTATGTTCGAACATGGTGTTCGTTATGGCCAAACTGCGGCTTGCACAGAAGTCCAATAACAAAACACCGCTCGAGTTCAGATTAGGTGGGCCGTTCCTCCCAATCACACCCCTCCAGGTCAAGCTGTCATTGCCCACGTGAGCATTGAAGTCCCCCAGCAGGACAATGGAGTCCCCTGATGGAGCACTATCTAGCACTCGTCCCAGGGACTCCAAAAAGGGTGGGTACTCTGAACTGATATTTGGCCCATAGGCACAAACAACAGTCAGGACCCGTTCCCCGACCCGAAGGCGCAAGGAAGCTACCCTCTTGTCCCCCGGGGTAAACCCCAACACACAGGCAGAGAGTCTCGGGGCTAACAAAAAGCCAACCCCAGCCCTCCGCCTCTCACCCGGAGCAACTCCAGCAAAGTAGAGTGTCCAACCCCTCTCCAGGTCTCGGGTTCCAGAGCCAATGCAATGTGTCGAGGTGAGTCCGACTATATCTAGCCGGTACCGCTCAACCTCTGCCACAAGCTCCGGCTCCTTCCCCGCCAGCGAGGTGACGTTCCATGTCCCAAAAACTAGTTTTCTTGTCCGGGGATTGGACCGCCAAGGCTCCCGCCTTGGTCTGCCACCCGATTCGCATTGCACCGGACCCTTCATGTTCCTCCTGCGGGTGGTGGGTCCACAGTTGGACGAGCCCATGTATCCGGTTCGGGCTGGGCCCGGCCGGGCCCCATGGGCGAAAGCCCGGCCACCAGGCGCTCGCTCACGGGCCCCAACCCCAGGCCTGGCTCCAGGGTGGGACCCCGGTAACCCTCCGGGCCGGGTACTCCGACTCTTCGTTTTAACTGCCATGAAAGATCCTTCGAACCGTTCTTTGTCTCACCCTTCACCTAAGACCAATTTGTCATGGGAGACCCTACCAGGGGCACTAAGTGCCCCAGACAACATAGCTCCTAGGATCATTAGGGCACTCAAACTCCTCCACCACGATAAGGTGACGGTTCAAGGAGGAGTGTGGTATAATCAGCATTTTTTAAATCTTTTAAATCTTTAAATCAATGAAATAAAAGTATCATTTTATCTTAAATGAAAATGCAACATCTCACCTGTTAACTTTCATGTTTTGGAGCAGAAAAAGAGCATAAAACCAACATATTTAAAGCTCAGTTTGCTCCACTGGTTTACTGTGACGCTCACCTGTTCCAGCCAGATGCCTGCATCATGGGGTTGATCTGAGCTGAGGAGGAGACTCCTGTTGTTTTGTTCATCTTCATCATAATAATGACAACATTAGATGACAACAGGTGCTCACATAGGTTTGTGCTGCTGAACATGTCTGAGCAGCTTGACCACGTTGTTGTGTGTCGGGGAGGAAACACAACGACAGCAACCACAGAGTCGTGCTGGTTTGAGCGTGTCACTGCTCGCTGGAGTTATATCAGCTCTGTCTGGACGTTAGTTGGAAAACTTTCTCTTTCAGTCGTGAACACATTACTGAGCGGCTAGAATCTCAGTTTCTGGGCTTCAACGTCAGAAAATAGCTGAGTGAACTCGGCGCTGAGTGAGAGGAGTGTTTTGTTTGTCCGAGACAGCGGAGATGCAGACACCGGCAGCAGGCGCTGGAAAAAACACAAAGGAGGGGGCGCGTCGGCTCCGCGCTGACGCCGCAAAGCATCATGGGAGTTGAAGTCTTTGCAGTAAAATCGGCCAGCGGGCCAGTTTTAATATATTTTTTATATTTATCTCGCGGGCCACATAAAAATGCTCCGCGGGCCCCATTTGGCCCGCGGGCCTTGAGTCTGACACATGTGCTCTACAACATGGCAGAACTCTTTCAGTTTTGTGTCATTTGTGCAGATAAAACATCAACATTGCTAAGCAAACTGAGTCAGTGGTAGTCACTTTGCTGTTAGCCAATCAGATGCCAGATGTACGAATATCATGAGTACTCATGAGTGAGACACCAAGTCTTGCCGTTTTGTGTTAATACATTTTTGCGTTTTGGAACATTTAACAGAAAAGGCTCAAGTCTACTTTGAAAGTGCTGAGCAACGGGAGGTGGCTCCGGATGAAAACTGGCAAACCAGGGTGCGCCACTTTTGCCGCTTCATGAGGGCGATTAACAGCACGTCCAGAAACATCGGCAAGGATGGGAAGTTCCAGATGCTCGTCTGTCTGGGTGCAAGGTAGGAAGATGCGCAGTTTTCCCTGTTTATTAGGGGGAAAATATTTATTATGGTGGGAATAAAATAAATAAATAATAAATAAATGTGATTTATTGACTCTTGCTCATCTCTTCTTTTCAGGGATCATCTGCTGCATCACTGGATTGCCCTGCTCGCAGATTGTCCAATCACCTCTCAGATGTATGAGGACACAGCACTGATTAAGGACCGCTCACTGGTAAACTCTCTGATCAGAGTGCTACAGACTCTGCAGGAATTTAACATCACGCTGGAGGCATCTCTCATTAAAGGCGTTGGCATCTAAACCGACTCACCCTCCGCTCGTCGTAACCGAACAGGAAGATCACAGAGGACCACTGGAAAGATTAACACAATCTTTTATATGCAGGAAAAGACTTGAACAAAGAAATTTTTTTCTGGCTTATATTAAAGCTACTGTCACATTTGGCCATATAAATATAAATATATATATAAATATAAATATGAAGTGCAATGAGCCTTTCAAGATGTGTTATTTTTATCCTTGATGACGCCATTAGAAGTTGAGAATGTGTTTTCTATTATGAACCATGGTTTTCACACTGTTGATGATGACCTTGTGGTATAACGTTTTACCGAAAGCTATTTTCATTGTTGCCGTGAATTGAGGACAGCGGTTATATTTAAGGGAAAGCGAGGATAAAAACTTAATATATTTTCAGATAAATAAAAACAGTGTTATTTTGTTAAATTAGTGAAGTTGCTTGCTCTGTTAACTTTGATTTTGATGTTATGATGCAGAGTTCAAAGCAAAGGATGTAGAAGAATGCTTCATAAGTATGTGTGTTTGGCCAGGAGGCGTGTAGAAATGGAAGCCCGTGTGAGAATACAGCGTTGGAGCCTTTTTCCTGGCAAACATACATGTATGCAAATCTTTTACATGAAATACCTTCGGCGACAGAAATGCTCCTCCTTGCATGTGGAGACTTTGTGACATGAGCCAGCACCCAGTGATGGACATTATATTTTGGATTCAGGAAGAAACTCCAAAGTCCTGTGTTACAGGCACAAGTGCTCCAAGACATGCTTGACCCAGCTGTGTTTGCAGTGGATCCCAATTTTAGCCTTCAGTGTAAATAACCAACCAGCTCTTTCCTCACACCATCTCTGCAGCCCTTACACTACATGTACTCTGTTCTCTGAACTGAAAACAACGTGATGATCTCAGTGGACTGTGTTGAATTCTGACCTCCTGATTACTGTGTGAGAACTGTTCCCTTGCCCCCTTTTTGGATTTTTGTCTTTATGGTTTCTTGCTATGCAATATCCATTCCACACGAGGAAAACCGAGATATTGCTGGGATCTTTTCAGAACTCTACGGCAGAAAATAATTAACGTGATAAACGAGTTTTCCGTGCCAACGTCTGGAATGACAGTGTTGTATTCATCCGTATATGACCCACACAAGCATCTTGGGAGATATATTTTTTCTTTTCCAATACAATTGTACATTTATCAGCATAGGTGTGTAATGTAGTGTTTACTAAGTGAGCAACAGTGTACAGTGTAAAAATGTATTAAGAATAAAGCATCTGTAATGCATTACAGTGAACTCTCAACAGCTTCCACATTTGTTTGTTCATTGCATTTTTGCTGTAAATTGTTTGTTTTGACTTATTTAGGATTATTTATGGTTTTATTAACCTTAGCTGCAAATTATGGAGTGTATTGCAAAAACTGGCATAACTGTACTTTTAGTAAATTATAAGAATATGAATATAATTTTTAATTTAAGTAATTATTTGCAGATTGGCATGTATTTAAGCTGGGATATTGCACAACTTTTGACTATTTAAATAAAATTAAATATGTATAAAATGTGCTAAAACAACGTACACAAAACAATAGAATGCAAATCTAATTTTTTTATACTAATTGCTATTTTAACATACAAGCATCACATTTGTGATACTTGGATCGCTAGTTCAGCTTTTCTCTGGTGTTTCCTCGGCTGTGAAAATGTAAACAAAGTCGTTCGCGCCATGTCAAATGGCAGTTTTTCTTTCAAGTTGTAGACCAGGTGGCTTATGGGATTTTGAGTTTAAAGAGGGTTAAAAACCGGCTGTACTGTGCTTTTCCCGCTCGTTCGTTACTACGCCTCCCATCATTCATGTTCTTCAGAGAAGTACGCGAGGACGGCGGTGATTGGTCCGTTCAGGTTCAAACCCAACGGCTGCTTTCCTTATATGGTCATTGTACGGCTTTTTTATGTAAACTATATTCTAATGACCAGCTGTATGCAGTAGCAGTCGTAGTATGAGCATGCGCAGATTGTGAAAAGAAGACGGCGAAGATTCAAAGTTTTTGTCCAGTAAGTACAATGTTATTTCTTTTAGACATAAAATACGTTTGTGGAATCGTTATCAGCTTGTTATCTGTAAGGAAACTGATCACAATGTGGCGTACTTCCAACTTGACGTGTGCGTTTTTGCTGCTACGTGCTAAATGTGCAGGCTTACCGTGTCGACAATGGGGTAACGTGGAAGTGAACGAGAGCGTGGCGTGGTGATGGTAGCATTTATGCTAACAGCTAACAACAATGAGCCATATTTGGCGCACTCGCAAGCAAAAGTTTGATTTTAAAGGGGCAAAGTGGGCCGTCTTCTGCCTTTCGTTATAAAACTAATAACATACACCAAGCGTATCCAGCTTAGTGTTGCAGTGATGTTTATTAACACCGTACTGATTCCACGATTTGCTCGGTAGCTTTTTGTTTCTCGACTTCAGAAACTGCAGCTGCCCGCTTTTTGTTTCGGACATTGCGCTCCATCAAACCCACAGTTAATCTCTGTCTCATGGCAGTTTACTTTAAAAGTAGTTTCCTGTAGATAACCACACGCTTTCCAGTTAGTGGACGTCTGTTTTTGCAGTCGACATTAATGCTGAATAGCGATAGTAGGACAGTGTTTTCTCCTGTGGGCGTAACGTCCCTGTGATTGTCCCGATGTTTGCCACACACTGTGCGACTAAGTTTATCATGCTTTTTCACGTACTTGCTTTATAATACTGATTTTAAAGTGCTTTTAAACTATAGTCCAGTTTCGCTTACTGTTGTACACGTAAAGTTTTCAGGTTAAATTCGCTATAGTTGTATTTATTTTTGAATTAAGCCAGATTAATTAATCAAAATTATAATATTTTTTTTACTTTTTAATTTAATCCCTAAACTCCCATAAGGGTGTGTAGTGGCACGGTTTGTTGCAACTGTAGGTCAGAAGGGTTTGTGTATATTTCTGCGTGCAGGGACCGCCCCCTTCAGCAGCAGAAAACAACTCACTTCAGACATTCGTGCCGCTTTTTACGGTCACTGGGACGAGAACCGACCTCGTTTGTTTTGTTTCCAGTTTGATTTGCTCGAGGCCGACCTTTTGAAGAGAACATGTTTGGCTTTCATAAGTCAAAGATCTACCGAAGCAATGAAGGCTGTTGCATCTGCAAAACCAAGTCCTCCAGCTCTCGCTTCACAGACAGCAGTCGCTATGAGGAGACGTTCAGGCTGTGTTTTGGGTAAATCGTCTTATCATTTTCGCTCATTTTTAATCAAGACATCATGTTCATCTAACCTGCATTTTTCTATTGCACTGATTTTATTTTAGACTCGCTGAAGACCGCGTTGGAGATATCTGCAATGCTTGTGTGCTGCTGGTGAAGAGGTGGAAGAAGCTGCCTCATGGCTCCAAGAAGAACTGGAATCATGTGAGTGGTGCCTGCTTTTATTACACCGCTGTCCTATTGGGTCATGTCATGACTTCAGGCATTTATTTGCTCTTTATGATTCGCCTGCAATATTCAGGTGGTTGATGCCAGAGCTGGACCGGGTTTTAAGGTGACTAAACCAAAGAAGATCAAAAACAGTGATGGGAAGAAGAAGAGCAAACTAAAGAAGCTGCACAAGTTCAAGAGACAAAGTAAGGTTTAAAATGTTAACCATTAGGATTTCTGCTGTGTGCATTTTAATCCTCACAGTTATTTGGTGTAAAAATGTTGAATAGTAATATCTGACTGCCCACTTAAACGAAAGTCTTGTTTCGCACCATTTTAGAGTTTTAACAGTTCTAAATGCAGACCATATGTCTTTAATGCAGAAGCTTTCTCAAATATTAAGCGCATAGATCTGCATTTAAGTTTCAGCTGAAAGTGGTTTTTAATTCTTTAATAAAATTGTGGTACTGAAAATGGTTTTGTTGTGTTTTTCCTTAAGCAGACTCAGACGCTCACAGCACCACCTCCAGCATGTCTCCCGCCCAGTCTCCCAGTTACAGCCACCAGTCGGATGACGGCTCAGACATCGAGTCCAAACAGAGACGCTCAGCCCCCTCCATCTTCTCTTTCTTGGATCGTTCCTACTGGAAAAGGTGAGTTGTACTGATTTTTATGGCAAAAATTCATCTTTTATTTAAAAAAAAAACAGTAAAATCAACTATTTATTTTCCCTGGTATAAGGAAACACTGGTTGAAGTGTTTGTGTGGTTAACCTTGTGTGGAACAGTTTATAGTAAAGTTTTTAAATTACATTTCGATTTTTATTCAAATTTATGCTGTTCTTTTTATTTCTATTTATCAATTTTGTTTCATTGATCTGTTGTTTTATATATATTTTATCTGGACCTAAGAGTCTGTCAATAAAGATTATCTTATCTATCTATCTAGACAAAAGGTATGCTGTGGGATTGTATACAAGGGTCGCTTTGGAGAGGTGATAATTGATCCTCGACTTTTCAAGCCCTGCTGCAGTTCAAAAAAACCGAAGACGCTGACGCCTGCACAGGTGTCCACACTTCCTCCACAGTTACCAGAAGACACGAATGCCGGTGAATGCTTTTGTTGAGCCCGCTCTGGGTTCATCAGCGGCATCCACCTGGATTTGTCTCCAGTGGCAGACCTCACTTCCATTCTCCCCGTTTTTTCTAGACCAGTTCCTTTTTTTATATGGGTATTTTTTAACTGTTGTATAGAGTCATGGTATTTGTTTTATATAAAGAAGAAAAAAGAAAAAAAAACCTTTGGGGCATTAGTGTTATTTATAGAATAAGGACACAAATGTTTAAAGTAAATTGTTCTGAATTTTCAGTCATTTTCCTAATTAAGTGATTTTATTTTGTACAGATTGTTTCTAATTTTTACACATCAGGACTGCTCGGTCTTTGTGACTTGTCAAACTGTAAGTGTGTAGATGAAAACACCAGCATTTCCAATGCCAGCTACTGTGTGTTGTGGTGGGTCTTCCACGCCTTCCTGAAACGATTATGGTTCATTTGCTCCACGTGTAACCCGTATACATTTTCTTCTTTAGAAGTTTATTGATAACATCTAAACTAAATTTATTGGTTGATTAGTTTTTCCCATGCAGCTGCAGCATGCCACAAGTTTTGAAACACTCCTCCTTTTTAAAAATCTGTCAGCAGTTTGAGCACAAACGTCGACGTGTGGTTAGACCCTGCATGCGGTGCGTCCCTCGCCTTGTTGAAATGGCAGAACTGGTTTCATTTTTATTTATATATTTTATAAAGTCAAATGAAATGACATTGCATGTTGTAAAGCAAATGGTTCGTAAAATGATTTTTTTGTTGTAAATACTGTTCTTTTTTTGGCTCGTGATGCATCCCAACGTTTGTAACAGCCGACCACTACATCTGAAAGGTGCTGGAATAACTGAACTCTCACTGTAAGCCGGTTGGATCACATTTTCACATCTCTCTTTCTCAGGCACATTACTTTAGAGGTGTTTGTCGTTTGAGTTTGTCCTCTGTACAAATGTGGTAATCTCCAGGATTTTCACATATTTTAATAATTTAATTGCAATCCGTTAAGTGTAATTAAATGTCTGTTAGGAATGGACTCCCCTACTTCTTAATGCTCTTAAAGGAGTGTTTGTTAAAGGAAGCAATTGTCAAAAGTTCAAACTATGCAGACGTTTTGAATGTGAGGACTGCTCCGGAGCTTTCCGTCACTTTCTCATTTAAACCAGAGTAGTGGATCCTTTCTTATCATTTTAAAACCAAATTGGCTTTTTAATAGCATCAGCAATAATGTCATCAGCAGCCATCGTCTCAAAATTTTATGTATGCCATTTTATGAAAAATGCTCTTATTGCACAGTTGTTGCCATGGTGTAAACTGTCGATACTGCAGTAAAAATGGTTTTTAATTTTATTTTTTTACATTTTGTAACCAAACTAAATGAATTGACAGGCATTGCTCTGTAAAGTTGTGTAATGTATGTAAACTTCTGCGGCAGGGTAGCTAAATGCTGAGTTTTTTATGATTCTTATTAAAGAGATATGCTGCTTCCTTTTGATATGGAAAATAAGCTGTTTTTTAATTCTTAGGGAGTTGCTATATTGTTTTTTTTTTTTTTTGTGAGGTACATTTTTGGGATGTGAGATGTGCCTTATTGAATTACCTGACCTTTCCGTTGTGATTCGTATGTAATTTATATTTATTTATTACACAACCTTTTTTGACTGGAAATTTGAGGTAATGGGTGATGAGCCTTTCAATAAGTTCTTCCCTTCTTTTATTTTGTGCACTTCCTTTTGAACATGCAATGTATTTTTTGTAAGCTTTTTGTATACTGTACCACAAAGTAGATCTGTATTATAAAGATTTGGAAAAAGGAGTGTTCCTGTGGTATTGTGTACCTGTAGGTGGCAGTCGAGAGCAGAGAAACTGGAAAGGTCTGATTTTATTTAAGCAATATTTAGTGACAAAATATATTGTTTCTTTGAAATCGCAGTACGAAGAGGAATTGGTTCAAAACGTCACTAAATTTAAAGTATACTCGCATTTCCCAGCAGTTTATAACGAAGAGTGATGACTTCCTGTTGTGAAAAATTTCTAAAGAGCTGTAATAATATGAGAGAAGATCACAAACGATATTTTTTTATCTGATAATTTAATAATCAACATTGAAACAGCTGCACTTTGTTGGCTAAGAAATTCCTGTTGATACAGTAAAGCATCCGGTCTGACTTTTCAGAATAAAACCCATTTTGATAGTTGGTTTCAGTCAATATTATGTACAAAAATAAATGGTGTAGAATAAATAGTGGACTTGTATTATTATTATGCTATATTAAGGTTCTTTATTAAAGAGCAAGTAAACCCCAACTCCACTGTTTGAAAAATGCAACAAATGCTGTTACCTGGCAGACCGAGAAGACCGAGCTGCTAGCAAATATACACACACAGGCTCACGACAGCATTGTGACATCATAATGTACCAGTTTACATCATAGCATACCTCTTAGCCAATAGCGGTGGCAGATTTAAATTAAAATACAGTGCAGAGTTTTTACCTGACAACAGCACAACACTGCCAGTTTTAGGCAGAATATTTAAATTTTAACTAAGATGCACTGAAGTGCCAAATTATTGACTACACGTGTCTGCAGCACGATTAGACAATCGTTTATTTAGTTTATCAGCAAAAAAAAAGTTTATTTGGGGGTGACTTGCTCTTTAAATGTGTTTATTGGGTTACGCTGTAGTTTCAAACTGCCTTGTAAAATAATTTTTTTAAACCAGATAAGCACATGACATTTTATTTTACACAGATTTCTGTTATAAAAAAACAACATAAGAAACTTAAAAACATACAAAATAGTATAATAAAAGGAAAATCTTTTGTGCTGTTGTTTGGAATTAAAGGTGCAGTATGTAATATAGTGAGAACTTTACAGTGAGAAAATGCCAAGATTCTATCAGTCATTTTGGAAGGAAGGTTGTACTGAAACATATATCATATCTAGCTGGCTGTGGGGATTGTCTTTCAAAACAAAGGAAGGAGGGACATAACTACTATTTACCATTGGTGAGTGTGGGGTTGCTGTCTCCTGCGAGCTAATATTGCAGCGCCGACAATTGTAATTTGACAGCCGTCAAAAAGCTCCAGAGTTGTTTTAAGCGTCTGCAGTAACCATACATTACCACAGAATGCCATTTTTACTTCATTTCTACAAAATGCACCTTTAAACAAATATATCATGAAACAAAATAATTAAAATTCTGATGCTTTTAAATAACCAACCTAAATCATTTAACAAGTCTCTTCACCTGTAAAATCTAATAAGCAATTCAGAACAGAAATCTAATTAAATCTTCAAATAATTCACAATTAAGCTAATTAATTCACACACAAGACTCTGTGGAGGTCATAATGTGACATAAGTAAATACATTTCTCTTGGGTGGATGTACATGACAGCTGAACAGTTCTCCCAAGGGTTTTATTTTGTGCCTGGACCACAGAGTTCAGCTGCAAATCTCTTTGTTCCTCTTGTAGTTCAGTAATCACTTATAGATTTTAATATGTCTTAATAACAATTATCACGCATTTTGAACAATTTTTGATTAATAGTTTTAAAATCCAATTTTATATGCCAATTTTATCAGCATTCACTGAAACAAAACAAACTGTCTAAATTAAATTGGATATATCAACCACTGTTTAGCATTTTTAGAATTATTTATTTGTTTGTTTATTTATTTATCAGTTAAAATATTGTTTTAGATGTGGATTTACTACTTCAGAGTAACAGTGATTAGTTTCCTGCTCCTCTGCCCCACTGTTTGAAAGTGAAATTACAATTGTTAAAAGAACTGCAGCAACCTGCTGTAGCTAGCGCTAACAACGACCTACGACATGAGCCAACTATTACCAAAATAAACCAAGATGTAAAAAGATCCACACTGTTGGACCAAAAAAATTATTACTTACAAGTCCAGTAGCAACAAAGCCAGGTCACCATTAGTCCATGATTTTGTGGCCTCTAGCTCCCTCAAACTAGAGTAAGCTGTGCTAATGTTTGCTCCGGTTTTAGCTCTTTGCTTCACCTCCAAAGACATTACTCTGTTACTTTTACTTCCAGGCTCTACCATGATTCCAACAGAAAAAGCAAGCGTCTTCTTTTTCTTCTTCTAGTGCTTTTTATCGACAATCGCCAAACTGAAATCGCTAACCGTTAGCATTACAGCTAACAGCAGTAAAGTAGGCTAAGCGCACCACCTAGAGCACCTACCTGCCACACAAGCGTTGGTGAAGGTGGCACAGGAGTTAAGTGTTCTCCCCGTAATCAGAAGGTTGCAGGTTCGAGCCTTGCTTAGTCTGTTGCTGTTGTTGTGTCCCTGGGCAAGACAGTCAACCCACCTTGCCTGCTGGTGGTGTTTGGACAGACTCACCACTGTCAGTGAGCCCCAGGGCCCCAGGCCCTGCTGAATCACAACCCACCTATCACACACCTTAAACTAAATTCTTCCAGAGCAGTTGTAATGGCCAGAGTTGGACATTAGATGGCAGTGTAAACCAGAAACCCAGATAACATGCTTTATCTTCCTTCAAATATTTAGGTTAATTCCCTGGAATGGAAGGAAAAAAACACATACATGATACTAGAATACAGCTTTAAGTGCAGATTTGATGTGTAAAATGTTTACAGAACTACAATAAAAGTTTCTGAAACTTTGATTTGTGTATTACATAAGTGAATTTTAATTGGTTTCTGTAACACAGGTATGGATTTGACTGACTTTTATGCATTTCAAAAATAAGTGAATGCAAACTATTTCTTCAAATGAAAGCCACGAAACACGCAACCACAAAATGCCAGCTGTTTAATGAGTTTGACAAGAGCCGAGGCCGGGCGTCTCTTCCAGCAGCCGAGAAAAAAACAATCTTATATATATGTACCAATTTAACAACTTATGTATATACCAATTTAATGCTGTTATGATACGGATGGAGCATTTAGTGTAATCCATTTCAATTGTAGTCTGTATAAAAATGATCATAATATCAAAGAATATCTTAGTAAAAGCAATACATTTAAAGGGATAGCAATGTCTGAGACATGGTCAGACACAGACTGAGTAAATGAAATGCAATTAGAAGGATATGAGCTGTTCACTATAATTAGGAGTAATAAAAAAGGTGGTGGGGTGGCATTATCTGAATCAGAAGGGTTTTACGGCCATATGTGTGAGAATCACAACATTAGGAAATTGCTGTGGCACTTGGTGCAATAAAAGAAAGATAAAAATAAAAGACAAGCAATTAGAGGAAGTCAGAATATAATCAGGATAAAATAATAATATAAAGTGGCAATAATTAGAGAAACGGCTACTGTGTAGGTATTAATCAGAGCGTATCAGTTCAGATGCAAACACAACACTGGGTCATGTGTCTGGAACCAAGCGGTTGGAGTGGGCAACCCTAGGACATGACGTGTGGACATGGACCTGAGATGTAGCCTTTTGTAAGTGATGGAGTTCTAGAGTGCATAGTGGATACTGACGTAAAAAAATCCCCAAATATTGTTGTTAGCCGTCTGTGTAGAACATCGGGATCATGTACTGACACGTTTAATCAAACTGTTGATAAATTGTTTAATAATCTAAATAAGATACGTATTGTCTGTGGGGATTTTAATATCCATCCATCCATCCATCCATCCTTTCATCCATCCATCCATCCATCCATCCATCCATCCATCCGTCCATCCATCCATCCATCCATCCATCCATCCATCCATCCATCCATCCATCCATCCATTGTCTGGACCAGCTTTGTCCTTACAAAAACCACCAGAATTACGGTTGAAACAGCGACATTAATAAAAAAAATCACTGCTAACTTACTCATAAATGATATTAGAGATCACATTTCAATGTTCAGCATTTTCCATCAGCTCCTCAAAAGCTGTAACACATCAAGTGCATGCCAGACTCCAACATGTAAAATGGTAAGATGCAGATCTCCTGAAACCATCGCTGCTTTAAGTGATGACTCATCTAAGCAGACTTGGAATGAGGTTTATTCCACATTTAATCCTAACCAGGCCAATGACAACTTTTTAACCAAACTGATAAGTCTGTATGATAAACACTAAAGAAATACATTCTTAATGATTCTAACAACAAAAATAAACCGTGGATTACAAAAGGCATAATTAAAGCATGTAAAAAAAAAGAACATTACTATAAAATATTTCTAAAATTATGATCTAAAGAAGCCGAACAAAGATATAAAACATTTAAAAACAAATTAACTAATATAATAAGATCAAGACAAAAAATATATATATATAATAATAAATTGCTAGAGCAACAGAAAAATAACGTTCAAGGTATTTGGAAAGTCCTAAGTGGTATACTTAAAAACAAAATTAAAAAGTAGATTATCCACAATATTACATTATAGATGGAAAAATTATGGATACAATTCTGAAATAGCAAATGCATTTAGTCAGTTCTTTGTTAATGTTGGCTGCACTTTAGCCCAATAAATTGTCCCACCACCAGAAATATTCAAACTAATAAAAATTATTTTTTTATTAAAAGTGTAGATGATATCGAAATAATAAATATTGTAAATGCATTTAAGAGTAAGAGGTCACATGTGACATTACGTTAGTAAAGGAGATTATTGATACTGCAACACCCTTAACATACATCTTTAAAGAGCAAGTCACCCCCCAAATAAACTTTTTTTGCTGATAAACTAAATAAACGAGGGTCTAATCGTGCTGCAGACACGTGTCGTGAATAATTTGGCACTTCAGTGCATCTTAGTTAAAATTTAAATATTCTGCCTAAAACTGGCAGTGTTGTGCCGTCGTCAGGTAAAAACTCTGCACTGTATTTGAATTTAAATCTGCCACCGCTATTGGCTAAGAGGTATGCTATGATGTAAACTGGTACATTATGATGTCACAATGTTGTCGTGAGCCTGAGTGTGTGTGTATTTGTTAGCGGCTCCGCCCCCTCGGTCTGCCAGGCAACAGCATTTGTTGCATTTTTCAAACTTGAAGTGAGAGTGGAGTTAGACTCTGGTAGGGGGTGACTTGCTCTTTAATCAGTCCTTTCTCACTGGCATTTTTCCAACAGCAATGAAAATTTCCAAAGTAATACCGATTTTCAAAAGTGGAGACAAACACAAACTTACAGTACAAAATATAAACCAATCTCCTTACTTTCTCAATTCTCCAAAATTTTAGAAAAGCCACATATATATGTGTGTGTGTGTCCTCCCGAATGTGCTCTTGTATCTTAATTCTGCATCATAACATATTTCTATTGCACCTGCGAAGCCAACTAATATTAAAATAAACCAAGAAGTAAAAAGAACCACACTGTTGGACAAAACTGTTATTACATACAAGTCCAGTAGAAACAAAGCCAGGTCACCATCAGTCCATGACTTTGTAGCCTCATTTAGCTTCCTCAAACTAGTGTAGGCTGTGCCGATGTTCACTCCAGTTTTAGCTCTTTGCTTCACCTCCAAAGACATTACTCTGTAACTTTTACTCCCAGGCTCTACCATGATGCCAACAGAAAAAGCAAACTCCTTTTCCTCCTTCTAGTGCTTTCTATTGAGGATCGGCAAACCGAAAATGCTAACTGTTAGCATTACAGCTAACAGCAGTAGAGTAGGTAAAGTGCGCCACCTAGAACACCTACCTGCTCCACAAAACTGTTAGGTGCTGTTTTTGGTCAGCAGACGGATGCAGAGTGGTGTCAAATATTTAACCGATCAAGTTCCTAACTCAACAACCACTGACATCTATGTTAAAGCTCTAGATTAAAGTAAAATAAATAAATAAATAAATGAATACATTTAAGGCAATTTTTTTCCTTAAGGGGTTTGTTGATAGTAAGGAGAAAATAGACAATAGCTTATTATTTAAATAAAGGTTATTATTATTATTATTATTATTATTATATCCCGTTAGTCCACAATCAGTTTTATGGGCGGGCCTGAGAAATCTGATCTGAATACTTCCGGTAATACATTTTCTAGCTCTCTCTTGACGCTGCAACCGCGCGCTCTCACGTGTACGCGCACGCACGCTCTCATTCTCTCAGCCTCTCACCCCTTTCTCTTTTCAAAAGCCCCTTGTGAGGCAGATTGACAGGAGAGAATGAAAATGAGGCGGACGCTGCGCCACGACCTCAGTGCGTACGCGTCCTTTTGAGAAGACCTCTAAAGTTGGATCATATCACCATGGGAGCTGTTTGGGCAGCGAGGGACTTTTGTTTGTTTTTGCTCTTGTTAAATAGTCGCCAAAGCGTTGCGCTTCCTGAGATTCGAGGTGAGACTGTAGTGAGTGTAGTGCATGTGTTTGTTTTGTTTTTCACTCGCGGGGATTGCTGATTTTTACGCACCGCTTTCAGTGCGCTCCTTTTAGATTTGCGTACTGTTTCGACATCTAATTTTTATTTAATGACTTTCTTATCCATTGTTTTGCGCACTGTGTTCACAGAACTTCCCTAAACAATCTATTTGTCTGTTATTATGACAATTCCTGTTGAGGCAGTTGCATTTATTTAATTTATTTTTTTCGGTTGTTCCTTCATCTTTTGTGGTTTAGTGTCCCCAAATGTCCTTATTCAAACACACACGCACGCGCGCGCACACACACACACACATATGTGCTATTTGGTATTTCCTTCCTTGTGTTTTGGTACAACTAATGTGTATTTTTATCAGATCCGTGCTCAGAGGGAAGCGATGGCTGTCACATTGATGCTATATGTCAGACTACTCAAAGCTCATACAAGTGCTCGTGTAAAGCAGGATTTAAAGGGGACGGACAACACTGTGAAGGTAATGGGTTGAGATCATCTAAATGTTCAGATGCACATTTTTGTAGATTAAATGTTGTCAGCTTTCTTTTTCATTCGGCATGACCTTTGAAATAACATTCAAAGTCTTGCGTTTGCACAATTTTTGCATCCAGGTGGCCAGATGTTTATGTCATTTTTTAAAGTGGTTTCGATTAGTAGAGATGCAGAATTTCCGAAGGTGTAAAAGTCAGATGAAAAACAGTTAAAAGATGTTTAGAAACCAAGGAGGAAAATTGCTCAAGGGCATTTTAAAAGATTACAAGAAATCCAGGCCCTCTGGAGGTAAAGTGAGTAAAAAATAGAGGCGGTTTGAAACTCTTGCTCTGTATTTGAGACGTTTGTATTCCTATTACTCAACTTTCTTTCGCTTTATGTAAATATTTTGTTATTTATGTGGTGTTTGCTTCTCAGATGTGGACGAATGTGACACGGAATACACTGGTGGCTGTGTACACGAGTGCAACAATATACCCGGAAATTATCGCTGCACTTGTTATGATGGTTTCCATTTGGCGCACGACGGGCACGACTGTCTGGGTAAGGCCGACTCTAAACCGAGCACGACATTCTGTGACAGATCCTTTGAGTCGTCCGATCAGATCTAGAAGAAAGTGCGTTAATGTTGGCTGTTTGAGGTTTTCCTGGAATCACCTCAAAAGCATTAATCTGCAATGTTTACAACTTGGAGCGGAACAGCTGCATTTCATTAAAACGGGTGAAAAGTTGGTGATTAAAAAGGAGAAACTTTCCATGAGTTTTGCTAAGTGTTTATAAATGCTATCGTCCCACTGTCCTGCAGACGTGGATGAATGCAAGTTCAACAACGGCGGGTGCCAGCACACTTGTGTCAACACCATGGGAAGCTACGAGTGCCGCTGCAAGGAGGGCTTCTTCCTCAGCGACAACCAGCACACATGCATCCACCGCTCTGTGGGTGAGTTTACAACCCGCGCCAACTGTGGCTAGTTCATTTACAGTTCACGTTTACGTGTGTGTTTCCTGAATGCATTTCTACCCAGAAAGCCTTCCCCATCCTATGATATCATATGAATAAGGTTTTGATGGTGCAGTGAGGGGGACGTGCTGTGGGAGGTGTCTCTGTGTGTCCTGCAGGACAGAATAGTCACTTACTGCAACGTTCTGGTTTGTGAGGTTGGTGTCACAGATTAGTCTGAAGTGCCTTTGTTTTGTCGTCTTGACTGGAGTCAACTTAAATGCGAGTCCTTTCCACTCCATTGGGTTTTGGACAGCCTTTGTAAATCCTGCAGATCTGACCGCTCAGCTGTGACCCGGCTATATAAATGGAGCTGCTCCTCCTCTCAAGAGCAAGTGTGTTGTACGTGCAGGAAGCGTTTGTGGTGTTTTCTTTTGCTGCAAACTTAGTCCTGACTGCAGAATATTACCTTTCCTCTTTAAAGTTGCCAAAAACCAACACAGCTGGTGGGTGTTTTGGGATTGTGCGAGGCGTGAGAACAATCAAGTGCCTTTGAGGATGCTGGACTAATCTCTCAGTGTGTGTGCCTTTTGTGTTTAACTGGTCGGCCACTGCAGGAGTTTCATTGTGCACCTCTTTTCCCTCTTTCTATGCCAGAGGGCCTCAACTGTATGAATAAGGAGCACGGCTGCGCCCACATCTGCAAGGAAACTCCCAAAGGGGGCGTGGCCTGTGAGTGTCGTCCAGGGTTCGAACTGGCCAGGAACCAGAGAGACTGCATCTGTAAGTGTGCTAACAGGAAACCGTTAGTGGTGCATCACACCTGCTGAGACATTCACAGCCTGGCCGCTTTGTACATTTTTTACACTCTGCAGTGACCTGCAACCATGGCAACGGAGGCTGCCAACACACCTGCGAGGACACAGAGAACGGCCCCATATGCAGGTGTCACGTCAGATACACGCTACAAGCCGACAAGAAGTCGTGTGTAGGTAAGCGCACCGGGACGACATGCATGCTGCTTGTTGATGCAACCGTCGTCGTCTTCATCGTCAGACAAAAGACGCCAACGTTTTTCTTTGAATTACTATTTTGCTTGTAAATAAGTAATTTTAAAAAATCATCTATTTTGTATCAAATAAAAATGCTTCTTAAGATGCAAAAAATACATACAATGGATGTTAAAAACATACATATGTCGCATGTAACACACAGACGTCATCATAGAGAATGTGTCTAATGTGTATCATGCATTGTCAAAACAAACAAACCCCAAAATATCCTAGAATTCAGTCATTTTATTTTATATTTATCTCAAAATGGCTAAGAGTCACGCCTGACATGTAGTCGAGATGCTCAATAACTCAATACTTGCTAATGATGATTGGTTCCAACTTTGCCTGTTAGCAAAATATCCCACGAACCACTACAACTGACTAATGTGGAGTGAATTATGTTCAAGGGGTTTTCACCCACTAATAGGTCAGAGCACACAGAAGAAATATTAGGGTGAGGAGCACCGAAAAACATCTTATTTCTGATTATAATCTGAGTTTTTCATGCAGGCTGAACATGAAAATGGTCTCCTACACCTCCTGCTTTAGCTGCATTAGGTGCACCGGTGTATTGCACCCCAATACAACTTACAAGACATTCATTCTACCAGAGACCACTGCAGGTGTATTCATTAAACCAGTGAATCACACCTTTAACAGATAAAGTGCATGGCATTATTTTCAAACAATGAAATGACGATGAGTGAACATAAAACAATCTTAGTTTAAAATGAACGGTGCAAACAATATAAATTCCCTCTATTTTTTTTTAATACTTTAGTCTCCTATATGAGAAAAATACCGTACTAAAATAGATCCAAATGTCTTGGATGAAATTGCTTATTATTATGAAATAAACCAAACTAGTGTTTAGGACAGGGGTGTCAAACTCAGTTTTGCTCAGGGGCCACATTGAGGAAAATCTAGTCCCAAGTGGGCCAGGCCAGTAAAATTAAAAGTATGTATAAATTAAAAACTGCTTCAGATTGTTTTCTTTGTTTTAATACGATCAACGTAAAACAGAGCTGGAGCCTGAGGACAGTGTATCCAAAATAGTTTAAGCACAACATCACTATTATTAATAAAACACCTGAAGTGTATTTGAAAATGTGAAGTACAAAACAAAAAACCCAAGACTATTCCTCAGTAATTCAAATAACTGATTCACAGATCACATGGCTATATCAGTTTCATGCTTGTCTTCGACTCCTGATACCTGACATCTTTAAGCTTTCACCAGCAGTTGAATTGAAAATAAGGTTTACATAATCATCTCGCGGGCCGGATTTAAACTGTGTGCGGGCCTGATCCGGCCCGCGGGCCGCATATTTGACACCCCTGGTTTAGGATATTCTGATTAAGCTTTTCTGTTATGAAACGAACAGAACTGGGTGTATTTTATTTACATTGTAGAGTCTAACTTGATAAATCACTGCCCCCCCCCCCCCCACCCACAACACACACACACACGCACACACACACTGCTACTGCTGTTAGAAGAAAAGGGATAACATACTATCTGCCAGCTGATTCTTATCATTTTAAACTATTGTGTGTGTGTGTGTGTGTGTGTGTGTGTGTGTGTGAGGTCCAGGTGTGTTAATGTGATGTTTTTTTGTAGATTCTGATCTTCTGTATTATCTGACCCGCACCAAGCCGCCACGAGTGGCGCATGCGGTGACTCAAAAGGTGTTTTTTTTTACGATTCTAAATCTAATCTGATGTGCGTCGCAGAACGAGATGAATCCACCGCTGAGTCCTCGGACCACAATGCCACGTCTTCTACCGAGGTGGACAAACGCGTCAAAAGAAGACTGTCAATGGGTAACAGTCACATCCCAGGCTTGATGTGTGATGGTGTGTGTGTGTGTGTGTGTGCGCATGCGCGCGTGCATGTGTGTGAGGAGCGGGAAGACGAGTAATGTCTAGTAAAGCGATACATTCCTCCGCCTTTGGAGCAAACTGTGAAATAACTCCACTCTCTCTGCCTCCGCTCCAGCCTCCTACCTGTAATATATGCATTTGTGACAATGTGGTAAATTTCACATTTTCCTTCAATTTTGGGAAGGGCAATGTGTGAATATATTCTTGCATATTTAGAATGTATTCACTGTAATTTGGGAAAATGCAGGGTGTATAAAAACGCTGCATCTTTTGGCACTGGTACCAATTACAATGACACAAGGCCCAAAGTGTCTATTTTCCTTTGTAAATGTGCAAAATGACTGAGAACCTACAGAAAAGCAAGCTTCATAATGATTTGGTGATTTTCACACGGCTAAAAGTCTAGTCTTGCTTAATTTATTCACACTTTGTTTCAAGGAACCAGGCCTTTTGCAAATCTTTAAAGGGGTCTTGAATATTATTCTAGAGAAATCCAGGGTAGGTCAAAACATTTACACCATGCCTGTGTGTGTTTTTTTTCTCAGAAACCTGCGCAGTGAACAATGGAGGCTGCGACAGCACCTGTAAGGACACTTCCACAGGTGTGCACTGCAGCTGCCCCATTGGCTTCACGCTGCAGCCGGATGGAAAAGCGTGCAAAGGTCAGACTGCTGGTCCTCAACACAAACTTCACAGCATGCAGGAGCTCTCAGTTATAAGATTTACAAAGGAAGTTTCATGTAATTGTCAGAATATCACTGGTTTCCCTGCAGACATTGATGAGTGTGAGTTTCACAATGGTGGCTGTGAACACTTCTGCAGAAACACCATCGGCAGCTTCGAATGCCACTGCAGGAAAGGATTTAAGCTGCTGTCAGACGAACGCTCCTGTCAAGGTAACTCAGTTATTCTTTTTGTGTTTTTCTTGAATCTCATTGATGCTGGGACTAAACCAGTTGATGTTTAAGGAGGATTAGACAACAGTATCCAATTCCAACCCTAAAAACTGGGCATGTTTGATGCTGACTTTTTTTTTTAAAGAATAGAATGGAATATACTTTATTGATTAGTATAGAAGCGAACAGACTTTGCTGATCCCACAGTGGGGAAATTCACTCATTACAGCAGCACATACACTTTTACCGATATATGTATGTATATACATGTATATGTATATGTATGTATGTATATATATGTGTATATATATATATATATATATATATATATATAATATATAATATATATATATATATATATAAATATATATATATATATATATATATATATATAAATATATATATAAATATGTGTGTGTGTATATATCTATATCTATATATATATATATATATATATATATATATGTACACACACATACATATATATATATATATATATATATATATATATATATATATATATATATATATATATGCGTGTGTGTGTGTGTATATGTATGTGTATATATATGTATATATGTATATATATATATATATATATATACATATATACATATATATATATATATGTATATATGTATATATATGCATGTATATATATGTATATATATGCATGTATATATATATCTACATATATATATATATATATATATATATATATATATATATATATATATCTACATATATATATATATATATATACCGGTATATATACACACACACACCAACACCAACATCTAGAGTTCCAATTATGGGGGAGTTAAGGGGAGCCTGGCTCCCCTGAAAAAGGTGCTGGGTTCCTGAAGAAGCCCTCAGCTTACACACCCGGGGGAGCCCCAAAAAAGATCCAGTTTCTACCTATATTACATTATTTATATGGACTTTCAGAACACCAGGATAATTTTGAGCAGAGAGGACAGATAGCGGCAGAGCTCTGATTGTTCGTGCGCTCCAGGCAGCTGCATCCTGCTCATGGCCACAGTAACATTCTCAAAGTGGCGCCACTCAAAAAATATAATTAACAAACAATCGGTTGTGTCCATTCTCTGGTACTTTTATTTGATTAGTTAGTTAGTTATTTTATGCGCTCTGCTGCTACGGAGCTCATCACCCGCTCTCCGGGGATTTCACCTCACTGACATGGACCGACATGGACGCGCAGCGCGCACGCCACTATTTTTTGTGATCGGTAGATCCCTTTAATGTGCTTAGTTTAAAAATATGAGGTGAAAAGGTAGGTAGCCAGGCAGCTGTTTGGATGGAGAGGAGATGCAGGAAGAGGGACAGAACAGGAAATTAGTCGAACAGAAAACAAGACAACAAAACAAAGCACTTGAAAAGGAAAATGTGAGTAGATTTATCCCACTGCACGTTTTTTCCTTTATGAATAATTAATCAGCATGTCATATTTACATACAATTCAGATCACTTTCAAAAAGTCCCATGCCCAGGGCCGTTTCAAGGCATTTTGGGGGCAAAGGCGAAACAGACGACATCCCTCACTGGGCTCCCCAGAAGCCTCTGTGTGATTCGTACCCTGTCAATATCTGATATACTGATGTAGTCAACCCTAAATTTCTGATGTGGATCTAAATCGGTACCAATATATGAGGGATCCCCCTTCATAAAAAAAAAAAAACTAAATATTTTTACATTACTGATGTCACATATATCATCATATAAATTATATTTTGATTTACGTCATACCACTTGTGTTTGTAAAACAAACAAATATTTCAAAACCTACCTCGGATGTGTCGTGTTTGACATTTCGAGTGAGAGGAGAAGTAGCTGAAGAGATTTATGTTCATTATGTGCATGGTATGTGAAGATTGTGTAACGTAAAGAGTAAAAACCGGTATAGATCATTTCCAATATTACATTTTAATGCAGATATCGGCTGATGATTAGGTGGACAACATCGGACATCTGTGCTGATAACATCCCAAAACTTTACATTTTCCCTTGATTTTATTTGTTTTTGTTGAACTTAAATGCACAAAAGGATGACCAGAAGCCGTCGTTCTGGCCATCGTAGCCGAGCGCACGTGTCACATTTGACTGATGACTAGTGCTTCTGGGTGGGAAATTCCTCCTGATGAAGATTACAACCAACTGCCCTGCCATTAAGTCATCTGTGTGATTCTGATTACAGATATAGACGAGTGTTTTTTTGAGCGCACGTGTGATCACACATGTGTGAACTCCCCCGGTGGTTTTCAGTGCCTATGCAACAAAGGCTACACCATGTACGGGCTGGCCCACTGTGGAGGTAACAGCTTCAGTGTCACAAACCAGATTTTTTTTTAAATAGCAGATGTGAGATTTCACTGATGTTTCCTGCCGTGTCCTGTAATTATAGAGGTAATTCTCCCTTTTCATCCCAGATATAAACGAGTGCAGTTTGAACAATGGAGGCTGTGAATACGGATGTGAGAACACGGTGGGAGGATTTGAGTGTTTTTGCCGTCCTGGTTATAAACTCCACTGGAACAAAAAGGACTGCGTCAGTAAGTCGGTTCTTCTTTTACACTTTTCGTCCGTGTCTTCGGACGTTTGCGATAGTCAAACATTTTGGGGGACAGGAAAAAAAAACAGGAGATACTTTGAATTGTTTTCCTTTTCTCTTTACATCCAAATTCCAACTTGGCTCGCATGTTAATTGTGCTTTTTTTGTTGTTGCTCGTGTTCCTTCGTGTTGCAATCAAACGCGTTCTTTTTTTACCTTTGAGTTCTGTTGTGGTTTTCATCTAGAGGCTGAGGGTGTCGCACCTGCAACCCCGCTCTCTAAGCCTACTCTGAACTGCAGTAAGCAGCAGGGAAGGGACCGCTGCTTTCTGACCTGCCAGTCTCAAGTTCACATCAGCAGCGGTGAGTTGAGCCGGACCTCCAAACAGCATGACGTCACCTACTAGACATGTTCATTTATTCCCCGAAAGATGTTAAAAAAGTCCTCCAGTACCTTAGAAGCTTTGTTTCCATAAAGCCTTCTTCATCATTTTCAAAGGGATTTTGATCATTAGTTCTTCAGGTTCAGGGGTCATGAGGAGTATATAGAACAGAATAGAATATCCACCTATCCATCCACCCATTTATCCATCCTTATTCATCCGTTTATCCGGGGTCGGGTCACGGGGGCAGTAGCCTAAGCAGAGAGGCCCCTCTGTAGCTGCGTGGGCCAGCTCCTCCGGGGGAATCCCAAGGCGTTCCCTGGCCAGCCGAGAAACTTAATCCGTCCACCGTGCCCTGGGTTTTCCTTTGGTTCTCCTCCCGGTTGGACATGCCCGTAAAACCTCACCAGGTAGACGCCCTAACCAGATGCCCGAGCCACCTCAACTGGCTCCTCTAGATGTGGAGGAGCAGCAGATCCACTCCGAGCCCCTCCCGGATGACTGAGCTTCTCACCCTATTTCTAAGGGAGAGCCCACCTACCCTGCAGAGAAAACTCATTTCAGCCGCTTGTATCCGCAGTCTCGTTCTTTCGGTCACCACCCAAAGCTCATGACCACAGATGAGAGTAGGAACGTAGATCGACCGGTAAATAGAGAGCTTTGCCTTCTGGCTCAGCTCTCTCTTCACCACGACATGTTGGTACAACGCCATCAGCTATTATGAAGTTTATCTCTTCTCTTTTAGTTTCTTTTTAATCAAATTCTTGCTTTATTGTCAAAAAAAAGTTGTGATGCTTTTTTTTTTTACTTTCAATGATGATAATAAACCATCTCTGTAAGTTTTCTGAAGAAACATTTTTAGTTTTTTCTTTGGACTTTGGATGCTTTTTTTAGTTAATGTTTAGTTGAACAAGAATGGGAGAAAAGTCAAATCAGATTTAATATACTGGTCGATCCACTGTATCTGAAACAGGACCTGGAAGACAAATCGTTTATTAGTGCATCACCACATTTTCAGCTTGTAACTCACCTTCTAACTGCTGAAATACTATTTAATGTGTCAAACTGTGTTATTATTGGGAAAAGCTGTCCTTTGGCGACTAAAAGCCTAGATATTTTTTTAAAGCCATAAAATTAGATCATCTTCTATTTTTTTTCTTAGATGTTGACACAACACTGGTTCATCCTGAGCATAAGAGCCCTCTCATGCTTGAATGTGTAAATTAGCTGAAATGACAGCAACATAAATCACTTTTATCTGGTGGAAAATAGAAACGCACCAAATCCCCCCCTTTAAACAGCTGCAGGGTTGAAATTATATGTTTATCTGTCTAAATGACCATCCTGGAGCTTTTCTGTAAGCTTATTTTTCTAACAGCAGTCTCAGACAAGCACAGATGAAATAGTTGTTACTGTAAGTGTGATAAAACTCCTCTGCAAGAATCCTTCATCACGTCAGCCGTTTAGGAAGTTTAAATAAGAATAAATAACAATATTTTCATAATTTAAAGCAGAAATCTGGAGTTCTTTTGTCAGAGGGCCCCATCTAGAGGCAGAAACATGTATTGCACATTAAGCCCCTCTCCTTACTTGCTGAAATCAACACCTCTAGCCAGACTAAAACACATTGTTTTACAGTTAACATTATGATGATAAAGTCCCATTAGTCATCGTGAAATTACATCTCCTTATCTGAATCATCCCTGTGAGGAGTGGTGAGCTGCAGTAGTGGCTGCACTTGGGAACTGTGTCATATATATACTTTAATGATGTGGAACTCTAAAAAAAAATTAACGATTATTTCTGATTATTTATTGAAAATAATCTCCTACACCAGCTCAGCTTTGAACCAGCTCAGCGGCCGGGTGGTAGAATGTCCACCCTGGAACTGGGAGAATGGGGTTTGATTCCCGGTCGGGTCATACCGAAGACTTTATAAATGGGACCCAATGCCTTCCTGCTTGACACTCAGCTTTAACGGGTTGAATTGGGGGGTTAAACCACCAAATAGTTCCCGAGCGCAGCCTCCTCTGCAGCTCACTGCCCCCCTCCATGGGGTTGGGTCAGATGTGGAGATGAATTTCACCAGTGATGATGACTATGGGACCAATCTCCTGCATTAGCTTCTGACAGAAAATAGACAGTAAAAAATGCTAGGATATGAAAATCCTGACAGATCAATGCCACACTGTCACCAAATGTTCATGGGTGCACCCATCTTGATTCACAATGGGAACGGCTGTGCCTGTTTAACATTCAGGAATGAGCAGTCAACGTCTCAAAGCTAACTGTTAGCATTAGCAATACCACCACACAGAAATGGGGCTGCCAACTCTTACGCATTGAGCATGAGACACACGCATTTGACCCTCATGATGCGCTCTCGCACCACACCTCCAATATCTCACGCTGAAGAATCAACCCCACCCCACCCCTCATCCCCTCTCAAGGCAAGCTTACGCTAATCACACATTGAAAAGTTTAAAAGTTGGCAGCTCTGCAGAAAAACTCCTCCAGGCTTTTATTATTTGTGGAGATAAAACATCAACGTTGCAAGTCAGTGTTAGAGTCGCATTGCTGTTATTCAATCTGAGGCAAGAAGTCAAAATGTCAGGAAATAAGACTCCAAATCCGGCCATGTTCTACCGCTCTCTGCAGCAGCAGACTTCTCAGTGCTGATCCAAGCGTTTCTGGGCTTTTTTTGCGTCGAGTACGACTTGCAAGGCATTCCGTCCTACCAGAGACCACTGCAAATGTATTGTTTAAACGAGTGAATCACACCTTTTAAGACTTACTTGGCCATAAGAAATGTCAGCCAACTCTGCATCTTTTGCGAACGTGCTTGCACGCTCTGTGATTGACATCAGTACGTCAGTGGATGTCTAACGTTATTGGCTAATGCTAATGCTGAATGACGCTCAATTAAAATTTCATGGAGCTCTAAGAAACAGGGATGGGCTTAGCAAAAAATAAAAGACGTGCTGCCTACATTATATCACAGTACAGTAAAAATTAGGGATGGACAATATATCGGCATCGATATCGGTATCGGCCAATGTTAGCGATTTTTTAACATGTCGATATCGGTTCGATAAATAAAACCGGGTCGATATTAACAACCAATATTTTTTCCATCTCGTCTCCATTTGTTTGCTTGTTTTAGAGGGTGAGGGGGATGGTGTGTAATTGTTTAGTCATGTGAACAGTGAATGAAATCATCTCAGAACCGTAAATGTGTGTGGTGTGAGTACATAATAACGTAAATTCAGCTTTAATAATTCTCATTCTAGACAGAATCTGCTGATTTTAGAAGCATTAATGTCAGTAGATCGGTATCTGCAAATATCGGTTATCGGCCATAACAGTGATCTCAATATTGGATATCGGTATCGGCCCAAAAATTTTATATCGGTGCATCACTAGTAGAAATGTTCACTTTTGTGTATTCTTGAAAAATCGCACATATTTCTTGAAAGAGTCTGGATTACTGCTTTAAAATACATAAACTCTGACTTAAAAGCTTTGTACTTGGTGACAAATATTGACGCTCCTCTCGATCACTGTCGCAGGTAAAGCCCCTATGGGGCCAGAAGAAATATCAACATGAAAGTGACTCATGCCACTGAAGGCCCTCGCTTTATCTGACTGATGAAGCCATCAGTGTTTGGAATCTGGTCCCTGAAAGGGCCTTTAGGTCGGGCTGTTTCAGATCTCGCTGTGTGAACAGTTGTCAGCTTTAGTCCACCAAGCGTCTCATCATGTTCCTTCATGCTTCCTCTTTGCTCTCCGTCACGGCTTTTGTGGCCCTAACTTGTGTCAGCGTGGGTCTGTGTCACGGCCCCTGGCGTGTGTGTTTTTCAGGGACGAAGGATTCCTACACGGTGACCTGTGGAATGCCTCTGCCCTGCTTGGCTGACGTACAAAAGAACAACAGCGGCTCGCATTGCTTAGGCAAGTATGGAACCTGGCAGATTTACATCAGTCTTTCTGCCCCGTCACACAGAGCAGCAGCTCCGGAACAGCTCCGGCTCGTGTTTGTTTTTCTTGTTGGTATGTAAATAGATCAAAATGACAAGCTTTTTCTTCTTCTTCTTCTTTGTTTTACGTTTCTGTCCTGCAGGTCCAGAAAAGCCCAGAGTTCCGCGCATTAAGACCACAGCCACTTTTAGGTCTGGCGCTGCGAAGTGCAATTTGAAACGGGCTCAGGAGAAACTCAGAGACGGCTTAAACCCACCGCACTCAGGTACGGGTGCTGCCTCAAAAAAGCAAGCCCAACAATGTCTTCAAACACAGATGGAACACAGACACGGATCAGAATTATGCCTCCTTTGTGTTTCTGGGGTGTTTTCGAAGACCTGCCTGCTTCCAAAGGAGATAAAGCAGACCTGAGAGCTGCTTCAAAGAAACCAAAAACCGAGCGCTAATGTGAGAGATGTTTGTGGGGAAAGTGATGTGGTTTAGAGTGTTTTGAACGTCTCGGAGCAACACTTTGTCTGGCGGGTGGCAGGGGAGGATGTAATTAGCCAGAACAAACCCTTTTAGTTGGATTTGACCCAGGCATCAATCAAATGAGTTCTTCATTGCACTTTTCCCTCCTACACAAACGTAAAGGAAGCATAATTGTGTCACACTCATCCGTCAGCAACAATCATCCTTTTATCAGTTGATGTTTGAAGTTTATTGTATGTTTTGCACTTTTTGAGCGACTGTGAACGTTCACAGGCAGCAGGTTCCTCTTCACCGAGAACGTCCAGTTCAGCTACGTGAGCCTGCGCTGCACCTCGTCGGGGCTGCGAGCGCGCAGCCGCCACAGCAGGCGAGCCGGCATGGAGGACGGCTTGTCGTTCACAGCTGAGTTTGAGCTGGACGTGAATCTAGAGGAGGTAACAGGTTGGTCTCTCTGCACTTCCTGCCTGCCTGCCTGCTCGTGACCTTTGCTTCTTAATCTTTATTTATTTATTTTTTTGCTGTTGTGTGCTTTTTTTGTCACTAAAAAGAACCAAAATGTTCAAGTATCTCCTGTTTTGACTTGGCTCTGGTGGCAATGGGCTCTGGTTTAAAAGGTTTTGAGTTTAATTGCATACATTATACATATATCTTTGGTGTCCTGGCGTGTTTCTTTAAGCATGCGGGGAATCCAGGCATGAAATTCCAAACAGTTGTGGTACTGAGCTCTTCTCTCAGCAGAGAGCTGTGACCTGAACTGCGTGCGTCGGCGTTCAGAGAAGAGGCTGAGGAAAACCATCAGGACCCTGAGGAAGTCCATCAACCGTGAGCAGTTCCACCTCCACTTTGCTGGTGCTGACTACGAGCTGTCCAAAAGTCTGGGTCATCCTGCTGAGCTGCTGGGACATTGCCCGGCTGGACAGGTGTTGGTGGGCAGGAAGTGTGGTGAGTTTAGATCAACGGGTCTGTTTTTGGACTCGGTACAGAAATGATTTTTAAAAAGAAACACACACACAATAGACACACAGTTTGGACTTTGAGTAATGCCAGTGTGATATGTTCGTAAAAGCAGGTTTAATGATCAGATTGGGCGCAGCGTGTTTGCCAGATGAGAGCCGTATTTGGTTCTCAGACGTGCCGTAATGAGCGAGTCGGAGTGGAAAGAGCGTGAGAACAGAGGGCCTGTTGTTGGAGCTCCAAAGCTGTGAGATCTTCCAGCATCTCGCTGGGATAAGAGCAAGGGCCCATGGCAGCGCTCCTGGTAGTTGTTGCCTCTTGCTCTGATTTTATATACAACCTGCGACGGAGAAAGCGCTGGTTAAGCACGACCGCTGAATGCTGGCTCGTGTTTTTCCTGGCTGACGCAGCCGGGCGCCCCCTGTTCTCAGGCTTCACAGTGAGATTGCTGCTTGATGAAACATCTCTGGAAAATGGTGCACGCCATCTAAATATTTATCCAGCGACTATGTGAGTTGTGTTACATCCAAACTACCAATTATGCGGAGGTTTGTTCAGATCTCCGTGTGAAAACGGGAGGTGATGACATTTCAAGGCATTCGAGTCCGAGCTGCTTCTGTTTCCGTCTTTTCAGCGGAGGTCTTGATTCTTTAACTCCCCCGCTACGCTTTCGGGTCAGCGTTGAAGCAGTCTGCTGACCGTGGCAGGGGTGTAGACATGTAATTTGGGTGAGGAGAAAGGAGGAGGAGGAGGAGGAGGGGGATTCTGAGAGGCATTCTTCTAAACCTCCAGCTCTTTAAAGGAGCTATATTTTCCCCCACCTCCCACTCTGGTGTAGCGCAGAGTGCATTTTCAGTCCTTTTCAGTGTGCCCACTCCGTTGAAAAGCCCCGTTTGGGTTTTCGTTTTCACTCCAGAGAAAAACACACTCGGCTTCTGAGAGTCTGGAGAAAATCCTGCACATTTTGGCTTATTTTTCACTTGTTTTGTGTTTCTGTTGCTAGGTAAATTCCAAAACGCCTAAAAGCCACGGTTTTTAAACCTCCACCCGTGCCTCTTTGAGCATCTGAGCCATTTTCTAAGTGTATTTGTTTTAAAGCTGAAGATGTTAAGGGAGTAATGCTGGCAGTTCCTGGGCACCCTCTTTATCCTCTTCCTCCTCCCAGCTGGGGCCACTTTGCATGACCCCCAGCCACTAAACCGCTGAAGAGAATTGACTTCAGCCACAGCATGGGAATCAATTAGCATCAGCTGTTTGGGCCCGGGCGGGGTGGGTGCGAGCAGCGATTGGGCCGAGCAGAATGGGGGGATTCAGGAACCTGACCCCTTTTATTGGGTTCAGCTCCTTACCGCTGTGATACCGGAGTGTTTTCCTATGTCATCAAGCTGGAAAAAAAAAAAGAAGAAGAAAAACGGTGCCTTGAATAGAGGTGAAAGGTCTTTTAAACCTCTTTGAGACCATCAATTCGAGGACTCTATAGAAGTGTTGTTTGCATTTGAAAGGCTTCAAGGTTTTTTTTCTTCCTCTTTTACTTTTTCACTCTCTCCTCTTCCCTCAATGTTTCCCTCTGTCAAATAAAAGCTGTTAGAGGACAATGCACTGATGGCTCCCCGCGCTCTTTCAGAATAAACAATGGCCTTCAAAAATGAACTGCTCTTGATAGAATTACACTTTCCCCATTTAGATGAAAATCTAACAGTTTGTTGAGCCATGTATAATGGAGCTAGCTTCAAGCTGTTTTCTTAGGAGGTGGTGGAGCTGAGGCACGTTATAAATTGATTTATTTTTGTTTCAGATCGGCCTCTGTTTCTTTTTTCTTTCTTTTTTTTTTGAAGCCAAGATCTTTAGACTATCAGACAGAGTAATTCTGAAATTAATTACAGGCATCGCTCTGAATGGGAGGAACCAAAGCAAAATAGTGCTTAGGTCCCTGTAATCAAGATAAGAGGGAAAACACCTCTTTGATTTTCCTCTGCGTTTGCTTTCAGAAGAGGTGAGGGTTCTCATGAAGACAGTAAAAGTTTCTCTGCAGCAGTGTTGGGTTGTATTAGTGTGTGTTTTATCTTTGCTTTGAAAGTTAAGATGTCAGAGCTGAAAAAGCAACTATTTTTCTGCTGCAGGACGCTTAAAGGCAGGGACGTTTTGCCAGTGACTGCTAGCAGAATATTTCATGAACCACAGGACAAACTTTAAACTCTCAAAAAGTCTTAAGCTGTGGCTAGATGACATTCAAGATGGCTGCCACAGCCAGACTCTGATATATTTCTTGTGATTTCCTGCTTGATGTTATAAGGGTGAAAAAAATATCGATACACAAAAATATTACAGTATTTTGTGTTATGAATGAAAGAAAGAAAGAAAACCATCTTTTATACAGCGCCTCTCAAGATAAAAATCAAGAGGTGTTTCACCCAAACAAAAACAAAATTTTAATGAAAAATATTTCAAAAATGATTAAAAATATGTTTAAAATGAGAATTTTTTTAAAAATTGTGATTAAAAATGTAAGGAAAGGGTAAGTGAAAATGAATAGGAAAGATGGAAATCATTATGATACGAAATCAATATTTTAAAAGCAGCGTATCATTTTTTTAAATTGAGAATTTACGTGCAAACATTTACTGGTTTTTTGTGTGCGGTGCAATTAAAACTGACTGCTAGGTGGCAGCAGTTTTTCCAGCCTTCATTCTGACAGAACAACGAGAGCACGTGATAGGGACCTTAATTCAATTCAATTCAATTCAGTTAAGTTCAGCGCCTTGGGCTTCCTGACAGGGTTGCGGAAGGCGCTTTATAAATAAAGCTTTGATTTGATTTGTTTTGAAGTTTATTTATATAGCGCCAAATCACGACAAGAGTCATCTCAAGGCACTTCACAAAGTAAATATTCCAATACGGGTCAGTTCATTAAGCTAATCAGAAAAAAGTTGCCCATATAAGGAACCCAGCACGTCGTATCCAGTCACTGACTAGTGTCAGAGTCTTTACAGCCGATAAACCCTCTCCTTGGGCTCTCCATATATTTAACTTTTATACAGACGACACTTTATTCACTTTATTCACTTACTCAGTGATTTTTTGCATATTTTACTGTTTTATCCATATTCTTGCTGCTTTATTACTTCCTAATTGCCTAGTTATTCAATGTTCGTATGTCCAACGTCATGCTGCTCTGCTGTTATTTTTTTTAATTGCCCCTCGGGGATAAATAAAGTTTTTCTGATTCTGATTTAGATCCTTACACTAGGCAAGCATTTAGCGACAGTGGAGAGGAAAACTCCCTTTTAACAGGAAGAAACCTCCAGAGGATCCTGGCTCAGTATAAGCAGCCATCCGCCACGACTCACTGGGGATTAAAATCCCCAAACTAACTTTTATAACCTCATTGATTTGCATTCATTTTTTATTTGTTCCGGGGACCCATGGTCCAGAAGTAGATGGGCATGACTTAGGCTCCCTATTACTCCGGATGTGTCTTGGAAGCGTCTAGCCTGAGTTTTCCTATTAAATTCAGCCTTAAAATTGCAAATATCGTATCGCCTGATTTTTCCCTTACGCCTCTATTATGCTCAACAGTAAAACAACTTCTTAACATCAGATCTTAGTTTAAACCTCTGGCACAAACTGTGATATGTCATAAATGAGCACTTATGTGTCAGATAAGTTTCTTTTAATACTCTAATTTTTTGTGGCCTAGGTCTATTTATGTCATTTAATAGAAAGATGCATTGTTTTATGACACAGAATCTGTTTTTATTTTATACTGCAAATTTGAATAAACAATAAAAAACATGTTTTATTGAAACGTATGAACAAGTCTCGGCCCAGACTTGATGTGTTAAACTCTCCACCCATGGCTGTTTTTAATGGTTCCATGTCTGAACCAGACCCTCCTTAATCCTGTTTTTATATTAGTCTCCTCGTTTAGTTGAATTGTTTTATTGGTCGTGTTTTCCTATGGTGTGGGAAGAGCTGTTGGATTATTTGCAGCTGCTGGGCAAACCGCCTGTATATCATTTTGTCTTTGGGTTACTGACTGTTTGGCTGTTTATATGATTAGACGATAAGTTTTTATTTGGATCTCTAATCCTGAAGTAATTGTACATGTTGAGCTTTAGGTTTGTTTAGCTAGATTTTGTTTTTAAAATTCATTTTGATGTCCTGTTTCTCCCTCTCTGCTAGTGAGCTGCAGCGTTGGGACACACTACGATGGAGGTCAGGGGCGGTGCGTGTTGTGTCCGGCTGGGACGTATCAGGACGAGGAGGGACAGATGTCCTGTGAAGTCTGTCCAACGCCAGAAGGAAGAGAAGTTTCCAAGGTGGTCGGAGCTCGCAACTTGTCAGAGTGTGGTGGTAAGGAGAGGTTTTTGACAAAGAAAAGCCATCCTAATCAGACAAATTAGTCATAAAATTATTTGGTATTATTAAAATCGTTGTCTTGTAGTTTTATAATATTTTAATCAGAATAATATAATATAATATAATATAATATAATATAATATAATATAATATAATATAATATAATATAATATCATGCTGGGCTGGGACTCGATTAAAAAATTTATCTAATTAATCAGATGCTATGTAAATGATTAATCTTGATTAATCACATTTCAATCGTTCAACGCATTTTGCCCCCAAGCTATTTTTAAATTTAAAAAATTTTAAATTTAACCTCACGTTGGCGCTGCGTCTTTGTTCACTTACTTGCTGCTACACGGCACTGCACTAAAGGTAATATTGGAGTGTTCCACTAGGGGGCGCACTATAGAACTCAGACCGGATGGTTAGCCGTGTTTGTGGGTACAACCAAAACAAACATGGTGTCAATAAAGGAGCTCACAAAGATGTTAATTTTGAGATTACGACCGGAAAAAAAGACAGCAGTGGTATCGTAGATGATGTGAAAGATCTCTAAATCAGAGACAGAGTTATCACGGAGAGGGTTTCTTGCTCGTTTTGTCAACTCCACCTACTGGTTACTTGTATATTGCGGCGTTTGGAAGCGGTGCGTTAATTTCGGGGGACGCTCAAACATTAATTGTATGAGTGTGTTACTTTTTTTGAGTTAATTAATAAATTGTAATTTAAACATTTTAAATACAATACAATATAATATAAACATAATGTAACTTTTGATAAATAAAAGCTGTGTTTTTATTTGTCATAATAATTATATTTGGATAATATGCAAATACCTCAAGGCTGGAGTCTGATTCCTTAAGTTTTTATTCAATTTCTTGTCTCCATATTTGTAAGTTTTCAGTTTTATATCTTATTTTTATTATATTTTCTGTTTTTAATCTATTTTGTAGTAGAGGAGTGTAAAACCCTATAAAGCCTAATATATATATATATATATATATATATATATATATATATATATATATATATATATATATATATATACAATAGTATAATAGTAAAAAAGTAGTCTTTGAATTGGGAATACCAGTCTAATTTTACCCCTAACAGTGTAATTTAACATCCTGGTTACAGAATAAATAAACAAAATGCTGATAAAGGCTCAGACCGTCAGAACAGGAACAGAATACTTGTTTTGTGAATAAAAGACATCCAGGAAGTCATGGTGCCGTGATAACGATCTCTCCTTGGCAGATGTTCTGTTTTGTGTAAACCCAGAGGAGCTTGAACTCAGGTGGTGATGATATTATTTGAATGCAAGAACAAATGCTTTCAGGCTTCTTTTAGTTCTGACAGAGCTTTTATCAGAGTCTCATCTGCTCTGACAGACTAAACAAGAGGAGCAGATTCCTTCTGATGCCCACTAAGAATTAGTCATCCATCCATCCATTCACTTACGCTTATCCGGAGTCGAGTCGCGGGACAACAGCCTAAGTCGAGAGGCCCAGACTTCCCTCTCCCCAGCCACTTTCCCCGTCCGGGGAAATCCCAAGGCGTCTCTCGCCAGGCGAGAGACAGTAGTCCTTCCAACCTGTCCTGGGTCTCCCTTTAGGTCTCCTCTCAGTTGGACGTACCCTGAAAACCTTACCAGGGAGGCGTCCAGTAGGCATCCTAATCAAATGCCTGATCCACCTCAACTGGCTCCTCTTGATGTGGAGGAGCAGCGGATCTACTCCAAACCTCTCCCGGATGACCGAGCTTCTCACCCTATCTCTAAGGGAGAGCCCAGACACCCTGCAGAGAAAACTCATTTCAGCCACTTGTATCTGCAGTCTCGTTCTTTGGGTCATTAACGTAGATCGACCGGTAAATCGAGAACTTCGTCTTCTTGGTCAACTCTTTTCACCACGACAGACTGGTACAATGCCCGAATCACTGCAGACACAGCACCGATCCGCCTATTGATCTCACGGTCTAGCTTTCCCTCACTCATGAACAAGACCCTGAGATACATAACCTCCTCCACTTGAGGCAGGACCTCGTCCCTGACCTGAAGTCCATAAAAGTTAAGAACAGAATTGGTGACAAAGAGCAGCCTTGGTGGATTCCAACATTGGGAACGAGCCTGACTTACTGCCGGCAATGCAGACCAAGCTCTGACACCAGTCAGGGACCTAACAGCCCGTATCAGAGGGCCTGGTACCCCATACTCCCGAAGCACCCCCTAAAGGGCCTCCTGAGGGACGTGGTCGAACGCCTTCTCCAAATCCACAAAACTCGTGGTTTTGTTGAGCAAACTCCCGTGCACCCTCCAGGACCGCCCTAAGGGTATAGAGCTGGTCCAGTGTTCCACGGCCAGGACAAAATTGCATTGCTCCTCCAAAATCTGAGATTCGCCAATCCGATGGACCCTCCTCTCCAGAACCCCTAAATAGACCTTACCAGGGAGCCTCAGGAGTGTGATCCCCCTTCAGTTGGAACACACCTTTTTAAATGAGGGAACCACCACCCCAGTCTGCTAGTCCAGTGGAAATGCCCCCAATGTCCACGCGATACTGGCTTCAAGGAGATTCTGGTCCACCATCCGGCGCCTCAGGAGGGGACAACAATGTGCTACCAACACTGTTTATAGTGGGGACACTTAAGCTGCTGACCTCTACTCAGCACGTGGTGCATCGGTGGGCGGAATACTTTGAAGACCTCCTCAATCCCACCTGCACGAGAATTAGTCACTCAGTACAAATTCAATGTGGAAACAGCGTTTAATTTCATTTTTCACACAATAATGTAGGAACACCCTTTAAATCAATGTTGTTTTAAAAGGTCAGAGAGAGCTTATGCTGTTTTAACAGTGCACAATTTACTCTGACCAAGTGTGTGTGTGTGTGTGTGTGTGTGTGTGTGTGTGTGTGTGTGTGTGTGTGTGTGTGTGTGTGTGTGTGTGTGTGTGTTTTCAGGTCAGTGTCCCCCTGGTCAGTTCTCTCATGATGGCTTCGTCCCCTGCCGTCCATGTTCACTGGGAACCTACCAGTCAGAGGTGGGCCGGACTTCCTGCTTTGTGTGCGGTGGGAACCTGGTGACGAAACGCAGCGGTGCCGTCACCTTTCAGGAGTGTGAAACCAAAGGTGAGAGTTATTTGTGTCATCCATTAACTCGTGTTTGGTTTATTTTTAACGTAAACGGACGGGCTCATGGAGATGTTTTTTATGAAATCCTGTCAGAATAATAAATAACGTGAAACAGCTGTTCATGTTGGGATTTGAGCATGCTTTTCCCATTTTCCCTTCCTGTATGATGTGGACACAAAAACACGTTGTTCCTCGGTGCAGATGTAGAACCATCACTGCTCCCAACAATCAAACAATTGCCTGCTGGTGGTGGTCGGAGTGACCAGTGGCACCAGTGCTCAGCAGCTTCGCCTCCATCAGTGCGCCCCAGGGCAGCTGTGGCTACAATGTAGCCCATCCCCACCAGCATGTGAATGGGTGAATGACTGATTGTGTTTTAATGCACCTTGAGGGGTTGCAGAACTCTAAGAAGGTGCTATACAAATACAGACCATTTACCATTCATTTGCTTGCTTCTGAGTTTTCCCCACTCAGGGACAAATAAAGGATTATTCTATTTTATGTCAGCAGAGGTCCCTTTGGTGTCGACTGGAGCTCTGCTGCCCTCTGCAGCTGCAGAAAAATAAACTAATCATGTGTTTAATGCACAATTTAATCAGCTTATATTGGATTTTTGTGATTATGATGATTTATGTAATTATTCAGAAACACATTCTTAAACCCAAGACCTGTTTGAACTAGCTAATGATCTTACCTTCCTGCCTTTCGCACCTGCAGTCCAGTGCTCTCCAGGTCATTACTACAACACCAGCACACACCGCTGCATTCGCTGTCCGATGGGGACCTTCCAAGGCGAGTTTGGACAGAAGTACTGTGTCTCCTGTCCTGGAAACACCACCACCGACTTTGATGGATCCACCAACATCATGCAGTGCAAAAGTGTGTTTATCTATCGATCGCCAACGAGCATAAAACACCTGCGCTGAGTGCTGAGTGGAGAATACAAATATTAAACCTTTGAAATGTCTGTGCGGCTTTACAGATCGACAGTGTGGCGGAGAGCTGGGAGACTTTACCGGCTTCATCGAGTCTCCCAACTTCCCGGGAAACTATCCAGCCAACATCGAGTGCACCTGGACAATCAACCCGCCGCCTAAACGGCGAATTCTTATCGTTGTGCCTGAAATTTACCTGCCCATTGAGGATGAATGTGGAGACTACCTAGTGATGAGAAAAAGCTGTGAGTAAAACATCAGTAAGAGGAGGATTTGGGATCTCCTAAGTGAATGAATGTATTTTAAATCACAGAGCTAATGGGGAAAATGTTCTTCTTTCACCTCATAGCTCTGACCAACTCTGTAACGACCTACGAAACATGTCAGACGTACGAGCGTCCCATTGCTTTTACCTCTCGATCCAAGAGGCTGTGGATACAGTTCAAGTCGAACGAGGGAAACAGCGGGAAAGGCTTCCAGGTTCCATATGTCACATACGATGGTACGATGAGCAATCCTTGAGAGCATTCATAGTGGATATTTTGATGACCAACAACAAATAGAGTTATCTCCGGTAGGGGTTGTATCAACTAGTCAACTAGTCAACTTCACTGCTCTGTAGTGACTTTTTATGCCTTTCATAGACTAGTCGCTGTCACGTGATAATGACCGACAAGATGCAGTCCTCGGAAAAGATAGCAGGTGACGAGCCCCTGCGCGTCGGTAGGCGACGCGCTGTGCCAGAGCGTTGGTGTCTGACGCCTGTGGTAAAACGGACATTTGACCAAATTGTGACCTTTGCCCCCTTGCAATTTAACCTTCCCCTCACCCCCATCCGATCTTAACCAGCTTGCGCATGCAAAGCTCTGATCGTTGACGCGCTCCAGATATCTGCATCCTGAGCACGGCCACAGTAACATTATCAAATCAGGTGTCGCCACCTCAAAAACAAATTTAACACGCGATCGTTCATGTCGGCTCACTTCCTTTTATGTTTTCTGTCTTTTATTTGTGCCTGATGCGTTTTGATGCTGTGGAGCGGGGCGCATCACCTGTTTAGTCCTCCGGTGACGCACCTTACTGGTGCGGCCGGCGCGCACTCTGCTGTTTTTGCGGTCGGTAGATCTTTTAGAATTGCAGTTCTAAGGTAACTCATGAGGTGAATATATATGAACCCAGGTAGCAGTTTTTCTTTAGGATTGAGAGGAGATGCAGGAAGATAATAAACAGACAGGACAGAAAAATAGTCAAATAAAAACAAGTTAGTTTTTGTACCCGGTGGTTGCAACAAACAGACACAATTGAAGATAATCAAAAGTGAGGAACTGAAAATTAAATAATTTTAATGTTTAGAGCAGCAGGAACTCTGTCTGAGAGGCTGCAGGTGCATCGGTGAGTTTGCGGCCGCTGCGCAGAGGGAGAGGGGAGAGGGCTGAAGCGGAGCAGTAAAGATGCAGAAACTACCGTTGTTAAAAGAGATGTGTTTAACTTAGAATATGTGGGCGCATTTATAATTGTCAAAAACTCCAGTGCATCGGAAAAAAACGCTTGGTCACCCATCGTCAGTTTTAGCCGCTTCAGGTGTATGACATCATCAACAACTAGACAAAGTCGACTAGATTTTCATTATTTGACTGTCAACGTTAAAAAAAATTAAGTCATGCAGCCCCTACTCTCTGTTAGTTTAACGTTTTAAGCAAAGATCTCACACAATGTGTGGTACTTGGAGTTTGTGTTGGGAAAGACACAAATCTTAAAAGTTTAGCTCAGTATCCATTAAATTGAGTATTTTTTTCGTTTGCTAAATTTGATCAGCTTTGGCCGCCATCTTGAATTGGAACCACTCAAAAAGTTATTCAGTTGTAGTTGTATATCCAGTCATTACTCTGTGAGAGTTATTAAAATATGCACACAATTTTTCACCTGATGATTTTTGCACCATGTTAGCAGGGGGTCTCCAACCTTTGTGAAGCTGAGAGCTACTTCATGAGTATTGAGCCATACGAAGGGCTACCAGGTTAATACCATAGTGAAATTTAAACTAGAATAGAACAGAATTAAACTAGCTTCATGTATAATAAACATATTTAATTTTTTTAAAGAAAACCGTAGTTTTTAAATATATATAGATGCATTTGTGATTAAAAAGATGGCAGCAGATTGTTTTTATTTTACTATAGACTTCTTGTGCTATTTGAAGAAAAGGCTGTGGGTGCCTTATGTGATTCCTGGTGGCATCATGGTGCCATGTTGGTTACCCCTGATGTAAAGGATGCACAGCCACACATAATTTTCCTGTGTGTAATCTTAATGTTTTATATATTTAATCTTAATAAAAAACATAACATTCAGTCAAAACTTATTAACTTTCAGTTATTACTGACATTTTGATTGAATTATTTACATTTTTTATTAGAATTAAACCAGAAATTAATTAATTCATTTGAGTTGGTAGAATTCTACCCCCTCCATTTGTGACACTTAAAGTGACAGTGTTTTTCCTAGCGATAGGGGGCAGTAGATACCTAAACCTTACCAACAGATGACCATTAGGGTCAAAAAGCCCTGGGAAGTTCAAGCTTTAGCAAAATAATGAGCACATCAGACTCCCTTTCATCACTGGCAACAGGTAAATGTGTAAAGCAACATTTAAGAATGATGAAAGTTTTGTAACTGTTTGTTGTAAATCAGTGAATGCATTTTGTCCTCATGGGCTCCCATAGAAGGAAACATGGCATCTAGCATGGCGTCGCCCAGAGACTTAGGGTGTTTCTCAAAGTCAAGTCGCCTGGCCTTGCGAGGCGATGTCTTGCGAGACCAGGCACCTTGCTTACAAGGACACTGTCCTTCCTTGGTCAAAGAAAATGGTTAAATGGAACAGACTTGCATCACGTGACTGCGGCTTCCACGGCGGTCACGTGACACGGGAGACAACATTGTATTTTATACGTAGAGTTTCAGTATAAATCATAGGCGTCACTTTAACCGGGGACACCGGGGACGTGTCCCCGGCAAAATTTGTGATAGGCAGCTGTGTCCCCCCCCACTTTCAAAAAAGCCTGCTGATGAGGATTTTTGTTTTACCAGCTCAGATCTCATGGGGGGGATTCAACACCCACACTTTTCCAGCTGTTTTGCTCACCTCCACACCAGTCTGGTTTCTACACGTCGCACTCACTCTGTTTGCCTCATCTCCTTCTTCCCCTCCCGCTTCTGACAGCCGATGTCGGGTTCAAGGAGCGCAGGAGAGGGAGGGACGGAAGAGCTGAATTCATAATTTTACATCTTGACATTAGCTGTACAAAGTCTGAGTTTGATAAAGTGAAGAACAATAATTTCCAGGCGCGGCGCCAGGTTTTCATTTTTGGGTGGGCCACGTTAATTTTGGACGGTTCTTAATAAGCAGTGACTTAAGTGAAGCAGGCAGGTTGCGCTAGAAATTTTTGTTTAAAAAGAAGTCATAAATGTTTTCCCCATCATTTTTATTTCTAAAATATGAAGTAAAAACTCCCAATTTAATTTTCATTCATTTGTCATTAATATGTAGTCTACACCCGTGCGTTAAGTGGACCATCTTCCAGTAAAAGCAAAGCAGCCCACCTCTCCAAATGCGTAAAATGTGCATCAGCCGCTAGTTAGGCGCGCCGCCCGCACCGTCAGCTACGTCAGCCCAGACAAGAGCAGAGAAAATAGAGAAAGAATAGAGGATAATTCTGTCTGGATGTGGATGGAGATTACATTTTACAGCAGCCTGATCATCATTTAAATACGTAAACCATCACCTGGCTTCTAGTCCACCCTGTCAGCATTATTTTAATTGTGTGTGTGTGTGTGTGTGTGTGTGTGTGTGTGTGTGTGTGTGTGTGTGTGTGTGTGTGTGTGTGTGTGTGTGTGTGCGTGTGTGTGTGTGTGTGTGTGTGTGTGTGTGTGTGTGTGTGTGTGTGTTTTCCACTTCAAACACTGGTCTAACCAACCAGACCAGCGTGTCCAGTAACATATTAATGTTACAATTAAACAGATTCACTTCATGTAGGCTAGGAACATTTCACCTGCCGTGGCCCGACCGCTTCTGCTCCACATGAACTTTGTGCGTGATCAAATGTCTCTACAGGTGCTTTCTGAGCGGATGCGTCATGTGTCTCCATATTAGAGACAGGAACAAGCGCTATTCAGCCAAAGTTTCACAATTTCATAAAAATAACATTTTTCCAAGTGACACATCCCTCAGAGAGACCGGGTTTCGAGACCGCTTCAGTGGGAGGAAATCTTATCGCATGTACCGTGGTTCTGCACTGCGCCGCGAACCCCTCTACCGATCTTCAGCCCACTGTCCACCGTGGGCGCTCCGAGCCGTGCTGAACACAGTGTCCAGTATTTGCCTTCTTGTGAAGATTGTTGCAAAGAGAAACAATTAAACTTGATTAACCCCAGAGCCACGCGCACTGCACTGTACTGACTGTAAAATGAGGGGGAAACGATTTAATCAGATCCTTTTCTTTTCAACATGGTTTAATGTAAAGTTTCATTCAGTACAAACTTTAGTTACACCAATCTAACGAGACAGAGCCTGGATTTGTATTCTGAACAGTTTAAACGTGTTTAAAACGGAGACATGCGTGACGCGTCTAAAATTTGCACCTGCTCTGCTATTATGGAAATTAAACTAACAAGATGAATAACATGAACTTATTTTAGGCACAGACAACATCCCCCACACTTCTGAAAAGCTTGCAACGCGCCTGGTCGCTCGTGTACGTCAAAGTTATCTTTCATAAGACGATAATCAATAAAACGATTTATATAAAATGGATCCAGAAGTTGTAGCCCGTCTCTGCCTTCAATTTTTGGTATTTTTCACCCTGTTGGTGGTTTTACAGAGGAGGTGCCACTTTTGTCATATATGTTTCTTTTTAAAACGCTGCGAGCACAAGCGTGGCGCTTCAACCCGGTCTCACAGTAGACCGGGTTGGACCTTTTCAGGTTTACGCAGACAATCTTTACATTTAGAATTAGCATACAGATGTAAAATTAATGCAGTAAAATATAAAGCATTTTATTTAAATATCCATTAATTATTTTACAAGCACAGAGAGCCGCATCAGATGGATGGAAGAGCCGCATGCGGCTGCAGAGCCGCGGGGTGCCGACCCCTGTGCTAGCCTACTTTATTGTCCCCAGCAATTTTTAAACCCCACTCAAGTGTATGGTTATTGTCCCCAGCAATTCTGAAAACAAACTGACACCCTTGGTATAAATATATAATGAGCCTTTTACTTTTTAAATTGTGTATATATTTATTAAATTAAAAATATATGTGAGTTACTACCCGCTAGCCAACGAAGCTGCGACTGCTAAGCAACTAACCAACAATAGATAACTTCTTTGGATCTAAAACAACATTTTAAATTAGTTGACTTATTTTTAAACTTGAAATTTGTCCCCGAAGTAGCTGCCGGCTTCTGATCCGCCAATCTTTTGAAAATACCATGATGTATTCTGGGTAATTTTTGACCAAGGCTAGGCTACAAGACACCTACCGTGTATCCTCGCTCAGCTAGCTAAACGGCTAACAAACGGAGAACACGCCTCGATAGGACATGAACATTGGAACACGTCTTGGCGGCTCCTGATGACGTATCTCCTAGGCAACCGGGGTGAGGCCAAGGCATCAAGGCAAGGTTCCTTGGCATCAGGGGCGCAGATAGGATTTTCAAACTGGGGGGGACAAAGTTCCAATGTACGCCCCCCCCCCCCCCCCACACACACACACACACACACACACACACATACACACACAAACACACACACACACACACATACACATACACACACATACACAAACACAAACTATTGCAAGCGCCTAAACTAGAGCTCAGTCAGTTTGTGTAATTTCATCCAATGGTTTACGTAAAAACAAACATTTATATAAGTGTTTGAAGCCATTATGCAGTGGAACGCTGGCAACAAAGCTCTGCCTGATCAACACTATAAATGATAAATGATCCGCACTTGTATAGCGCCTCTCAGAGTAAGGACTTCAAAGTGCTTTACACTACAGTGTATCATTCATCCATTCACACACTGATGGGGATGAGCTACGATGTAGCCACAGCTGCCCTGGGGCGCACTGACAGAGGCGCCCCACTATTTAATTCAGTCATTTGTTATTCTCCCAATCAATTACAAACCAAAACCTCATGCTTTATGCAAAACATTAAATGATTTTCAGCATACCAACATTTACAGAAAACATAAAACCCATAAAAAACTGCACATAAAATATATTTAAATAACAATATTCACTTATCACTTAGAGCAGTGGTTCCCAAACTTTTCAGCCTGACCAACAGATGTTCCATCGTATTTTTACGTTATTTAGAAATTTTCATTATATTTGGAAAGTTTAAATTTATGTATAAATATATAAATCTCTTTTAAAATTTTATATTTTACTTTTTTTATGGTTATGTGGCACACTTGACTTCCATATTAACGCATCGGCATCTGCCCCTTTTTCAAGGCCTTTTTTTTTACTTTGCCGCTACGTCTGTCATGTTAGCGGTGTTTTACCATAATTTCTACATTCATCACGTCCCAGAGAAGGTTAAACCAACATCAAACCCAACGTTTGGAGCTTGTAAACTCCACACACCTCTCATGCAGCACCACATTACCAGACAAAGTGATCAGTCAACAAAGACCAGACCTGCCGGCAATTATACGTTTTATCTCATATTTGCACTCTTCATGCTGCGCGCATCTCCTCCTCTCCCCGACTGGGAGCTTCTCAGCGGGAGGCATTTTTCAAGCTCTAAAAACTCCAAAACTTTGCTCAGCCTGAAGGTTACACGTCTCCACTATCTTCTGGTGTAAAGTAGTAACTTCATGAGGGATCATATTTGTAGATGAGACTTGTTAAAGTCAGCAATGAGGCTTTGGTGCTTATAACGAGTAAGTCCCAACACCGACAACAATGTACAGAAACTAGAACCAAGAATCGGGGTCGATCTGAATCGGGGGGGGGGGGGGGGGGCAGATACCCCCGTCCCCCACCCTATCTGCGCACCTGCTTGACATTGAGAAACACCCTTAGACCCACTCCCATGTGTGTTAGACCTGATTTTATGGTTATATGTTACAAAGCCGCCAATATTTTTCAACAACTGGCATCATTTCATTCATTTTCAACATTTTGAGGAATATTTCCAGAAATTAATGGTAAAATCTACACATTGTCTCTTTAAGGATATTTCTTTGAATTTTTTTTCAGAGGACTATCAAGAATTGATTGAAGACATAGTGAGAGATGGGCGGTTATATGCATCGGAAAACCACCAGGAAATCCTCAAGGTGTGTGGTTTTTGTCTTGTTTTATTGTCTAATGTAGGAAAGCCATATGGTTATATATTGGGTTTGAAACTTGTAAAATTAAAGTAAATATGTTGTTTTACAAAGTAAAAATCAATATATTTGTTTTAGGGGTAGGACTCAATTAACAAATTAATCTAAATAATTAGAGGCTTTGTAATTAATTAATCTTGATTAATCACATTTTAATCGTGAAAGAGAATTTTGCACCCAAGGTTTTAAAATTAAAATTAATATTAGTGAGGCACAGGTGACATACCCACACTTTGAGTATATTTCTGTAACCACAAAGTCTATTTGATATATTTGGTCTCATTATAAAGGTAACCATTGTGGGATTTGTCAGCATGTGTACATATTATTTTATAAAGTTAATTAATCGTAATTAACACAGTAAATTCCCACCTCTAATTTGTTTAGATTGTACAAACAATAATGTTACCCTTTAAATTATTGATGCATGACTTTATAACAAAAGGTTGGAGCGCTCTTTATTGGAGACATGTAGGAATGCAAATGGCTGTTCTTGTTCATCAAGGGTTTATTTAACTCACTTTCTGTTTCCTCAGGATAAGAAGCTCATGAAGGCACTGTTCGACGTGCTTGCTCATCCACAGAATTTCTTCAACTACACTCCACAAGAATCAAAGGAAATGTTCCCTAAATCCTTCATTCGCTTCCTGAGGTCAAAAGTCTTGAGATTTTTCCGTCCCTAAAACCGCAGAAGCCTTGAATGATTTTTTCTGTAATAAGTGAGATGCTGTGACCATAGCAGTGGCCCCTAAAAGTACTTTTTGTTAGCTGAATTCACTCAGCGCTGTAGGAGAACAGGTCTGAGGGGGGATGTAGGCAGTTGGAGGAAGTGGAGCTTTAACTCAGAGTTGTGTAGACGTATTGATCTGCATCCTCAAAAAGAAATCAGGACGTCTTCAATTTGTCTGGAAATGTCTTTGAAATGGCTCGATGTGTAAATTTTTAAAGTCAGGAGTACACATCTGGAAAACTGCACGACTGTGCTCACGCTCTGACTTTATGGGGCTTTTGCCGACTGAGTCAAGATGGAAGACGGTAGCCAAACAGATGTGTTACTGTACATAGAGTGTGTCTCTAGTTTTAACATAGGTGATTTTCACAAGTAGGAATGAATTATTGACAGAAACATTGTAAATGCCAGGAAGGAATAGAGCACCGACGCATCCCTTGGAACACGAGCACTACAAAAGAGGTGGTTCTACCGCAGAGCAACTTTCCTGATGAATGTTTTGTATATGATGTAAGAATAAATGCAAATGTATAACATAATAGTAAGAGAGAGGCTGAAAATTGCAGCTTTTGTGGTTGACTGAAAAAACATTTTTCAATTATAATCAGTCACCCTGAGTTTTTCATGCAGGCTGAACATGAAAACAATCTTCTACACCTATCTCCTGCATTGGCTTCTGATAGGAAATAGGTGGTAAAACGCTAGGGTTTGAAAATCTTCACATATCTATGTCACACTGTGAATTGGCATTCAAGGCCTCGCCCTTCTTGGCTTGCGCCCGCCCACGGGGAGGCTTTTAAAAAATTTTTGCAGCGAGAAGAGAGAGAGAGAAAGTGGAAAGTGTCTTGGTGAAAGTGACTTTGCAACATGGCTGAACGCGTTCTGTTAGCCAATCAGAAGCGAGGTGTGTGCATATCATTAATAAAATTGAGTTATTTTGCTGTTTTCAGCCCACCTCTGCACCAGCAAACTTCAGTCTTTTTGAATGACTCATAAGACATTGATTTACACTAGAGAACACTGCAAAAGTGCTGAAAAAAATGAGTAAACCACACCTTTAAGCAATCATAAGATAATAACAGCTCCAGTGTATTAACCTCTGTTTGCATGATTGCAAACTAGCTATGTGACCCAGGAGACACAGAATGATGGTATGTTGTAAAGGAAAAGACCTTAAAAAATCATGTAACATACAACTGAAGCAATTCACCTGGTTTAGATGATGCATGTATGTATATTTTTATGGTTTTGTACATCTAATATTGCTGTAAATAAAAACTGAAAATTGTATTTAGGTCTACAGACGTTTCGTATCCTACAAGAAGACATGTAAAATCATTATTTTAGTTCACTTTTTTCAAATGAAGTGGTAAATGGACTGCATTCATATGTAGGCCTTACTTTCTGACATGAATCAAGTGCCAAATGAAACACAAAAATCCATCTGAGGACACTCTTTGCAAACACTCACTGCCATCTCATTTGTTCAGTTTTTACCAATAGCTCATGAGGATTTGAAGGTTTAAACGTTTACTGACTGGTAAATGGAAATTAATGTGAGGTTTGTTCTGGCTCTGATTAGATTACGACATAGAGCTTTTTTTTGTTTGTTTCTTCCATCAGCTAACGTAAAAATTGAAAAAGTTTATTTTTAGATTTTGTTGTAATGTCACTACAATGTCACCAAAGGGCAATATATCCATCTGATGCAGCTTCTAAAGAAGGAAAAAGAGGACAAAGACGAAAAAGAGATGTAGCAAATTAGCTTGTTGCAAATTAGTAAATATTTAAAGCCAAAGTTAACCTTACAATCCTATGGCGTCAACTCCCCTTCTCAGCATATAAAGGCAATAACATTTCTAAGTTTGTATCACTGTAGCTCTCTCTGGGATTAGCACTTTTACTCCACACAACCATTATGTTTCACAAAGTTACATAGATAGTTGTAGTTGTGTTTTTAAGTAAATAAGAAGAGAAAAAGTCTTGGAGCGAGCTCCCCCTATTGCTAACGCCACAAATGCTGTATTTGAAAGAATTTACAGGAGGTGTTCTAAGTAAATATTGTAATTTTATAAATGTGGTTTCATCTTCTCCTCCTCCTCCTTCCCCCTTTAATTTGTTATTTCATTTTATTGATGGCCACATACAGTCTATAAGGGGTTTATAAATTTTATTTAAATCAACGTGGGAACAAAACAACTCAATCCTGGTGTCTTTCGAGATTAAGGAATTTTCGCCCTCTGCTGGAGACAAGCGGTTACTACAGCATTTATTAAATAAATATGTAGATTCTTTCTAAATAAAACATACCATTTAAAAATTACTAAAAATTTTAAATTAGCATTGTTAGTTTTGATAACGGGAAAGCCAGAACGCTTCCCCTAAACAAACTACTAAAACTCGACAAATCTATTTTAAATTTCTGTGTTCATTGTTCAATAAAAGCAAGTACCATCAGCAGGTAGCTAACAGCACTACAAACACATCAGATCAAACGCCCTCTGGCGGTCACTAGGCGAAAATAACCTCACGGTTTAATTCTTGATAAATACGTGACGTTCTTTCTACAAGTCATCCAAAATTAATTCTGATGTTTCAGGGCAATCTAACATGGTGATGTTTATTGATTTTTTTTAAATAATGTTTTTTTGTAGCCTGAAGTCAATTAATGTTATTACAAAAAAGATCCAAACGCGTTTGTGTGGTCACGTGAATGAATGCGGAAGCGGATCCTTGCATCCGGGAAAGTCAGCTGCCCGAGAAGCTGTTTATTCGCGATTTAGCTTGATGCCTAAACGTAGTCCTCATTGCTCGGCGGACCCTGCAAACACTTTTCTCCGTTTCTGTTTTGAGACTGGCCTCCCGTGAGGGACTAGAAAGATGAAGTCTTTGTTTTGTGTCGAGGGGCTCCTTTTTTTGTGTTTCGTGCTGCTCAGCCAAGTTTCAGCGAAGGTAAGGCTAATACTAGCCGTTGTTAGCTGTAAACACAAAATGGTGATGTGGCTTACAAAGCACAATTAAATTCTTAAAAACCAATTTTTGGCGAGTTTTTTTGGACAGAGTTCAGCGTTAGAATATTTAACATCCAACACTTGATTGCAGTGGATCTATCGTGGTTTTTAAACGTCCATATGCTTTCTGTAGGGTTTGACCTGCCCCGCCTGCCTTGGGAAACAGTTATTTCTTTGAAACTAACGCTAATAACACAGCTACAATAACAAACCTTTTAAAATGTTTTCTGTTATGCTGGTTATATTTCTGCAGTTCCCTTCCAAAATGCCCATTTCAACTGTCTTATGCAACTAAAAAGATAACTAAACAAAAGGTCATTGTTGTGATTTCTTTAATAAACAGAACTCAGAAGACATCCGCTGTAAATGCATCTGTCCCCCATACAGAGACGTTGAAGGGCAGATCTACAAACAAAATGTCTCTCTTAAAGACTGGTATGTTAAGTAAAAATACATTTTTATAAATGTAGTTTTCCCCCTCATCAAAGCCCATTAATGCTGTTCTCTGGTCAGTAACTGTCTCCACGTAGTTGAACCAATGCCGGTGGATGGGAAGGATGTAGAGGCCTACTGTCTGCGCTGTGAGTGTAAATATGAAGAGAGGAGCTCAGGTACAATTAAGGTGAGCCTGTTTCATTTATTTTTTTACCCTTTTGTTGCTTCAGGACTCCAGTAAATAAGCACAAATTAAGTTGATAATTATTCCTGATTACAAAGAAAGTGTCTTATTTTAATTTGGCACTGATTTTATCAAAGAGTAGACCAAAGATGTGACGCACAACTTATCAGTGTTACACACACACTCTTGATTGCTCCTTATCTCCAGGTTACCATCATTATGTACCTCTCTATACTGGGCCTGCTGCTGCTCTACATGGTCTACCTGACTCTCCTGGAGCCCATGTTGAAGAGGCGGCTGTTTGGACACTCCCAGCTCATCCAGAGCGATGATGACATCGGGGTATGTGTTGCTCTCAGGTTTACAGAATCACTACTACCTTTTATGATTTTTACTTTTCCATCTGCTCAGCCGAGCTGCTACTCTCCAGTATCAAGGTTTCTGCGTAACCTCTTGTTTCATAGAATATCACATGGAAGTCATGTGTTTCTGGTCAAATTTTAACAGTGTTATGAGTCTGCAGTGGATGTCCAGACTCGTGTGTTTGACAGCTGTTGAACGGGCCGAATTTTGCATTAGATGAAGTTTCTTTTGCTGTAAGAGCCTTCAATATAAACAAAAATGAGCCTTTTACACTGTTTTCTACTACATACTTTAAGCAGCAATCCCATAATGCATTAGTAGTCACAAAGAGGACATTGCTGCATATTCTGCTCCATTTTCTCTTCACGAAGTACCTTTTTTTTGGAAGTAATAAAGAAAATGCTATTTTAACACAAATGTAGTCAAAGTAGCTTCATTTTATTATGATGAAAGTCTGAATGACAAGGATCTGGGATAGAAGAGGTGTTGGTGTCTTTAATATAGAGACTGAGTCCAGCTCTTGTCCTTTTTGGAGGCATTCCTGAAATTCCCAGTTAATAAAAAAAACGCACACTTGTTTATTTATTTATTTATTTATTTTCTTTAACCATATTCTATCATCTTTACACTTGAATTATAAAATAACAAAATGACAGTGAGCCAGATATAAAAGATTTATTGGGCCTCATATGGAGCCAAATGAGGAGAAAAACAATGATTAACTAAAAGGACAGTGAGCTTTTACATAACAGTCGTGCGTAGGGCTGCAACAAACGATTATTTGGATAATCGATTAATCGGATGGGGTCTCGACACGATTAATCGATTAATCGGATTACATGGGGAAATTTTTAAAAACTGCTTGGGAAACGTTATTTCTCTCCTTCCTTCACTTTATTTAACACAACATTATTAGAAAACAGTTCAATAGCAGAAAAACAACATGCCATCACCTAAATTGTCTTATAAGGTGTATAGACAGAGACCCTAAGCTACATCTATCTGTGACCTAAAATGCTTGGTCCAAGTTAAACAGCTTAAGGGCAATTCTCATCTGTTTTGTTTGATCTCATCTGTTGACATTTATTTTAAATGTAATTAAACGTAGGCTGTGAATTAATCAAAATTGATCACTATTTCCAAAAATGACTGAAAAAATACCAAATAAAACAAAAGTAAATGAATGCCATCCTCCTTGCGATGATGCCCTGGGCAACTGCCATAAAGTCACATCAAGAAATGCTGCTGATCATTCCAATGATCCCAAATAGACTCGCATTAGGCCACATGAAAGCAACTGAACCCAAAAATATATTAACCAGTATATAACTGCACTCACACACAACACGCCTGCAGCAACAGTTAGGACTCCTCCCTCCCTTTTAAAAGCGTTTTTGCTTCTGAGGACATTGTGGTTGTAAAACCACATGCTAGTAGTCTGGCCCCGGTGTGATCAACCAGTTTCTGCGGGAATGTGACGGCGGAACCAGGGCCAGATTAACACTTTGTTGTACCCTGGGCAACAATATTCAAGGGCTCCATCATCACGACCCAAGGATCACCATAATGTGGTCACATACAGAATATTTTACTGTAATATGCAGTAAATATACTCAATACTTGAATGCCTGACAACACGTAACCCGCCCAGAGTAACCTTTGACCCACCTCGTGTGGACTGACCAATGAGGAGAGGGTCTTAACTTGAGGCCTTCTCTTCATTGGTCAGTCTGCATGAGACTGACTCTCAACTGACATTCAGTCGTAGGCAGCGAAGCGTCTCTGTGCAGCGCAAAAGCCCGGGTGGACAGTTTGTTTAATGTAGGGTGATCATATTTCCATTTCCAAACAAGAGGACAGGGGATCTGTGCCTATGACATCACACTATGGCAACGCCACACAAACCATGTTGGGACCCATTTTTTGTAAGAACTAAATTAATATCAGATTCTGCCAATTAAAGGGCTCTAAAACAATTCATATGTAAATATTTTGCATATTTAATGCAAAATCTAATTTTTCTGCTTTAGTGCTGCAACAAGGTTTTATTAATAATAAATTATTATACCTTTTGTTTTACTACAGCATCGGTAAGCTTCCTGTGCACAGATTATTAAGGATGCTTGTTTCAACTGTGAGATTAGACGATAGGATCAATGAAAAAATAAGTTGTCACACACTCCATGGAAACTTTCAGAGAATCCACAAATAGTGGCTTTCAAATGGTTTTGTTACTTTTTGCAAGTTTATAAAAGAAGCAGATGAGACAGCATGTCTGATAATTTAGTTTTTCATCTGATAATATTAGAACATGTCAGTAATGTCTGAGGGGCTTTTATAAACACCGTATAACTAACACTACTGGAGAGGGCATGAATTACACAGAGGCTTCTGGGGAGCCCAGTTATTGGGGGGGGGGGGGGGGGGGGGGCATTTTGCCTTGGCCCCCAAAATGTCTTGAAACAGCCCTGGGTGTGTGACTGAGTTTTGAAGGTGATCTGAATTGTATCAGATGTATAAATATTACATGTGTATAACTTGTTTTTTACTGGTAAAAACGTGTAGTGGAGATAAATCTACCTACATTTGACTTTTCAACACTTTGTTTTGTTTTCTTGTTTTTATTTAACTATTTTCCTGTCCTGTCTGTCTCTCATCTTCCTGCATCTCCTCTTAATTCTCCAGAAAATCTGTTGCCTGGATTCTTACCTTTTCACCTCATCAGTTACTTTTGAGCAGATCAAAGGGATCTCCTGACCGAAAAGCGCAGAGCGCGTTTTCGATGCTGCGTGAGGTGACATCACCACAGCAGAGGTGATGAGCTCCGCAGCAGAGCGCTTCAGGCACAAATAAGACAGAAAATAGAGAACATGTGCGGACATGAACGATCGTGTGCTAATTATAGTTTTTTGGTTGCGCCACTTTGAGAATGGACCATGCGCTGGAAGAAGCTGCCTGGATCGCTGCGCGACAATGCGGAACCAGTTCGCAGCAGCGCAAGTCTCCCGGCTCTCCCTCGCGCTGATCTGCCGGTACCGGCTCTCCCTCACGCTGATCTGCGTCTCTCCCTCGCGCTGATCTGCCGGCTCCCCTTGCGCTGATCTGCCGGCTCTCCCTCGCGCTGATCTGCCGGCTCTCCCTCGCGCTGATCTGCGGCTCTCCCTCGCGCTGATCTGCGGCTCTCCCTAGCGCTGATCTGTGGCTCTCCCTCGCGCTGATCTGTGGCTCTCCCTCGCGCTGATCTGTGGCTCTCCCTCGCGCTGATCTGACTTGCTCTGGTCTGCGCGCAACGGCGGGCGGGAAGGGGGGGGGGGGCGCTTTTGGAAAAGTTGTGCGACACAACGAATCGATGACGCAATTCGTTGCCAACGCTTTTAGTAATCGATTTTCATCGAATTTATCGATTCGTTGTTGCAGCCCTAGTCGTGCGACTCATCAGAGTCGTTCTTTGTGACATTCCTGATTATCAGTTGTGACAGAAACCATTTAAATGCTCAAAGTGACGATGAAAGCTGATTGTTATGGAAAAGTTTTTAGATATTAGCAGGAGGAATGGTGTGTGTGTGTGAGTGCGTTGTGACGGCAGCGGTGGTAAAAAGAGGCGTGGGTAGAGCTTTTGACAAAATGTTTAAAATTTTTTAATGTGTGATGGAAGGCTAAATGCAGCACGAGTGTTCAGGATCTGTTGTCACATGGAGGTGAATCTATTAATATGCTTTTTAGTCCAGATAAGTGCTTTAATTACACCTAACGAACCATGACTGAAAATACTTTTTTCCTTAAAATTTCTCTTGAAAAATAAGTAAAAACATGTTTTTGTCTAAATTGTAGGGGTGTAACGGTTCACGGGGGAGTTTTGAACCGGTTCGGTCCACTTGCAAACCGTTTTGGTTTATTTTCTCTGTTAAATAATAAATTTTTATTTGAGTGATTTAAGAGCAGCAGATAAAAGTTCATAGGCGAGTTTCCGCACAGACTCTGTATTGAGTGGCGCACGATGGCTGCACGTGCCCGATCTTCACTTATAAAATGTGACCTGCAAATTCTGATCAACGCCTTTCAGAGCGGATCAAACCAGCTGGCTGTCACTGCTAGCAATGCGTCGCGCCTCCCTCTCTTCTCTCACACCGCCGGCACACAGCAGCAAAAATGTAAACAAACACGTCTGCTGAATTTTCCCCGTAACAATTGATGTAAAGTTTTCATCCTGCAGCGAAAGATACGGCGCGGAGGAAGCTCGTTATTTAAAACGAGTTTTAACGAAGAAACTCTGGGCGGTGTGAGGTGAGTTTTTAAGGCTCGCTGCAGAAATAAAAACACGGAGCATCAACAGTCAAACACAACACTTGTCTGTAGGAGCGTGACACTCATAGCTGCGCAAATATCTTGTGAAGTAATTAAATACATCATGCTAGATAATCAGCCTGTGATGACACCTGGTTCTGCTCACTATAGGAGCTGCTTTAGATTAAATAAATAAATATAATAATAATAATACTGCCCTCTCCCTGGGCTGCTACCTTACCATGGTGGAGGGGTTTGAGTGTCTCAATGATCCTACGAACTAAATTGTCTGAGGCTTTATGCCTCTGGCCGCGTCACCCATGGCAAACCGGTCCTAGGTGAGGGATCAGACAAAGAGCAGCCCAAAGACCTCTTATAATGAATAATATAAATAGAAACCGTGTTCCCTCGCCCGGACGTGGGTCACTGAGGCCCCCCTCTGGAGCCAGGCCTGGAGGTGGGGCATGCTGGCGAGCGCCTGGTGGCCGGGCTTTCACCCATGGAGCCCGGCCGGGCACAGCCCGAAGATGAAACGTGGGTCCCCATGGGCTCATAACTCGTTGGAGGGGCCAAAGGGGTCGGTTGCAGTGTGTGACAGGTGGTAGTCGAGGGTGGGGGACCTTGGCCGTCTGATCCTCGGCTACAGAAGCTGGCTCTTGGCACATGGAATGTCACCTCTCTGGTGGGGAAGGAGCCTGAGTTGGTGTGTGAGGTTGAGAGGTTCCGACTAGATATAGTCTGACTCGCCTCAACACATGGCTCTGGCTCCGGAATCAGTTTCCTTGAGAGGGGTTGGACTTTCTACCACTCTGGAGTTGCTCCCACTGAGAGGAGCCGAGCAGGGGTGGGCATACTAGTTGCCCCCCCATCTTGGTGCCTGTATGTTGGGGTTTACCCTGGTGAATGAGAGGGTAGCCTCCCTCCGCCTACGTGTGGGGGGATGGGTTCTGACTGTGGTCTGTGCTTATGCACCAAACTACAGTTAAGACTACCCACCCTTTTTGGAGACCTTGGAGGGGGTGCTGGAGAGCGCGGTTTCCGGTGACTCCCTCGTTCTGCTGGAGGACTGTAATGCTCACGTGGGCAACAATAGTGAGACCTGGAGAGGTGTGGTTGGGTCGAATTCAGATCCGGGCTGTTAGGTCCCGGATCTGAATTTGAGTGGTGTTTTGTTATTGGACTTATGTGCTAGTCATGGATTGTCCATAATGAACACCATGTTCAGACATAAAGGTGTCCATATGTGCTCTTGGCACCAGGATACCTTACGCCGGGGACACACCGGCCGCGGAAGCGCCGCGAAGCGCCGCGAAAATGTGACCGCCTTCATTCGGCGCCCTTGTTAAGCTATTCTATAGACCACATGGGCCGCCGAAGCGCCGCGAATCGGCGCGCGCCGGCGCTCCAGCCCGCGCCGTGCAGCGATCATTTCGGCGTTGGCTCTATTTTTTTCGCGAGCCGCGGGTGAATCGCGTCAATTCTGGCAGGAAGTCAAACGTAGACATAAGAGGCAGGCCGGTAAAGTTAACAAAATAAACCATTTCAAAATAAAATTCCGCAATAGTCAAATGTGTTCGTAATCAGACACTGCAGAAAAACCACACGAACACACACACACATCGAACTTGTGTGCGTGTGTGACCACGTGAAGGGGGGAGTGGTTTTGGGTGTCTTTTCACCGGAGCAAACAGGACAGAGAGGCAGAAAGTCTGAGGCAAGCAGTTAGGATGGATGACTTTAAATTAATTATGGAAGTTGAGAAACACAAGGAGCTGTACGACCCCCGAAAAACATGGTTATTTACGTACCCGTTTAGGAAGAAACTGCTAGGATACAGCTGCAGAATTGGAGCGGGTTCCAAGAGATTCAACTGACAGAAACAACTGGTTCATACCATTGGTCACACACACACACACACACACACACGCACGCACGCACGCACGCGCGTACACACACACACACACACGTGCGCGCGCGCGCGTACAAACACTCAAACGTAGAGGAAAAGAGCTGAGAAAAGGCAGAGAGGAAATGGAGGACACCAAGTGTTTAAAAGAAAAACTACAGCTGAGCCGAGGCGCGCCTCGACTGGGGCGCGTCTGATCTGAACTGAGGAGCGGCGAGCAGCGGCCGAATTTCGTGAGCGATTCGCTTCGCTTCGCTGCGCTTCCGCGGTCGGTGTGTCCCCGGCGTTAGGCTGCAGCTTGATCGACTTTGTTGTTGTTTCATCTGACCTACGGCCACATGTCTTGGACACTGGGGTGAAGAGAGGGCCAGAGCTGTCAACTGACCACTACCTGGTGGTGAATTAGCTCAGATGGTGGGGGAGGATGTCGGTCAGACCAGGCAGGCCCAAACGTATTGCGAGGATCTGCTGGGAACGTCTGGCAGAGTCTCCTGTCAGAAGGAGCTTCAATTCCCTCCTCTGACAGAACTTCCAAAATGTTCTGGGGGAGGCAGGGGGACATTGAGTCTGAATGGACCCTGTTCTGTCCATTGTTGAGGCGGCCGACCGGAGCTGTGGTCGCAGGATCGCCAGTGCCTTTCGTGGTGGCAACCCCCAAACTCGCTGGTGGACACCGGCAGTTAGGGATGCTGTCAAGCTGAAGAAAGAGTCTTATCAGGTCTTTTTGGCCTGTGGGACTCCAGAGGCAGCTGACGGGTACCGGCAGTCCAAGCGGAATGCGGCTCGGGTGGTAACTAAGGCAAAACCCAGGCTTGGGAGGAGTTCTGTGAGACCATGGAGCAAGACTTCTGTACGGCTTTGAGAAGATTCTGGTCTACCATCTGGCGCCTCAGGGGGGAAAGCAGTGCGCTACCAACGCTATTTATAGTGGGGACGGTGTGCTGCTGACCTCTACTCAGGACGTTGTGGATCAGTGGGCAGAATACTTTGAAGACCTCCTCAATCCCGCCAACACGTCTTCCAGTGAGGAAGCAGAGTCTGGGGACCTTGAGTTGGGCTGTCAAATCTCTGGTGCAGAGGTCACTGAGATGGTTAAAAAGCTCCTCTTTGGCAAGGCTCCGGGGGTGGATGAGATCCGCCTGGAGTTCCTTAAGGCTCGGGATGTTGTGGGGCTGTGTTGGCTGACACGGCTCTGCAATATTGCATGGACATCAGGGGCAGTCCCACTGGACTGGCAGACCGGGGTGGTGGTCCCCTTATTTAAAAGGGGGGACCGCAGGGTGTGTTCCAACTGCAGGGGGATCACACTTCTGAGCCTTCCTGGTAAGGTCAATTCAGAGGTTCTGGAGAGGAGGGTCCATCAGATTGTTGAACCTCAGATTCAGAAGGAGCAATGTGGTTTTCGTCCTGGCCGTGAAACACTGGACCAGCTCTATACCCTTAGGGGGATCCTGGAGGGTGTGTGGGCCATTGCCCAACCAATCTACATGTATTTTGTGGATTTGGAGAAGGCGTATGACCGCATCCCTCGGGGGGCCCTGTGGGGGGTTCTCCGGGAGTATGGGGTACTAGGCCCTCTGACACGGGCTATTAGGTCCCTGTGTGACCGGTGCCAGAGCTTGGCCCGCTTTGCCATCAGTAAGTTGGTCTCATTCCCAGTGAGAGTTGGACTCTGCCAAGGCTGCCCTTTGTCACCGATTCTGTTCATAACCTTTATGGACAGGATTTCTAGGCACAGCCAAGGTGTTGAGGGCATCCCTTTTAGTGGTCTGAGAATTAGGTCTCTGCTTTCTGCAGATGATGTGGTCCTGTTGGCTTCATCAGATTGTGATCTTCAGCTTTCGCTAGAGCGTTTCGCAGCCGAGTGGGAAGCAGCTGGGATGAGAATCAGCTCCTCTAAATCTGAGACCATGGTCTTGATTCGGAAAAGGGTAGAATGCCTTCTCCGGGTCAGAGATGAGGTCCTGCCCCAAGTGGAGGAGTTTAAGTATCTCGGGTTCTTGTTCACGAGTGAGGTAAAACTGGAGCGTGACATCGATAGGCGGATTGGTGCTGCATCTGCAGTGATGCGGGCGTTGTACCGGTCTGTCGTGGTGAAGAGAGAGCTGAGTCAGAAGGCGAAGCTCTCGATTTACTGGTCGATCTACGTTCCTACCCTCACCTATGGTCATGAGATTTGGGTAGTGGCCGAAAGAACGAGATCGCGGATACAAGGGGCCAAAATGAGTTTTCTCCGCAAAGTGGCTGGGCTCTCACTTAGGGTGAGAAGCTTGGTCATCTGGGAGGGGCTTGGGGTAGATTGGCTGCTCCTCCACATCGAGAGGAGTCAGTTGAGGTGGCTCGAGCATCTGGTCAGGATGCCTCCTGACATTTATGTCTCTCACCTGGCCAGGGAATGCCTTGGGATTTTCCTGGAGGAGCTGGCCCAAGTGGCTGGGGAGAGGGAAGCCTGGACCTCTTGACTTAGGCTACTGCCCCTGTGACCCGACTCCGGACAAGCGGATGAAAATGGATGGATAATATACTGAAAATGAATCGAACCGAGCTCTTCAAAACACTGAACCCTAACCCAACCAGAGCGCCCCTACTTAAAGTAACACAGAGCAGTTTCCTGCTCTTCCGCCCTTCTGGTTGAAACTGGATTTACAACTGTCATGAACAACCCTGATGAAGCTAGCGCTAACAACGAACAAACACTAACAGGAACCAGCTACCACTAAAATAAACCACAAAGTAAAAAGATTCACTCTGTTGGACAAAAATATTACTACTTACAAGTCCAGTAACAACAAAGCCAGGTCACCATCACTCCGTGGCTTTGTAGCCTCCTTTAGCTCCCTCAAGCTAGTGTAGGCCACAGCGATGTTCACTCTGGCTTTAGCGATTTGCTTCACCTCCAAAGACATTACTCTTACTTTTACTTCCAGGCTCCGCCATTACGACAGAAAGTAGGCAAACTTTTTTTTTAACTTCTTGTGATTTTTATTGACGATCGGCAAACTGAAAATGCTAACTGCTAGCATTACAGCTAACAGCCATAAAGCAGATAAAGAGCGCCCCCTAGGGCACTTACCCACTCCACAAAATTGTTAAGTGCAGGATCTGGCCAGCAGAGGGCTGCAGAGTGGTGTCAAATATGAAACTGGTCAAGTTTCTAACTCAACAATCACTGAGATCAAAGCTCTCTAAGTTAAATAAAAAGCTTTTTAGTGATACTTATCTAACTTACTAATCATTTACATTGGCTCTGAATTTCCTGCATCTCAGGACCTTTGTCTCACAACTCTACAAAACTTGAGTTACTCCCACCTCTATGTAGAGGAGAAAGAATGGCTGGAGCAACTGGTCCTGATTACTTTTAAGAGGTGCAAACAAACAGAACTAACACTTCGACAGGTTATGCCTTCTTCAGATGTCCCTCTGGATGATGCGCGACATGCTCTTCTATTACTCCCACCTCTAGTTTGGTAAAAATAAAAGTGTCCGTTTATGTACTGCCATGCTTTCTTACTATTTTTGTGTCCAACTAGTTTCTTTTCTAGTTGAAAGTATTTTATTAGAATTTTCAGACCTTTCTGATTCTATTTATTTTCATTATTTTCCAGGACCAACAGCCTTTTGCTAATGCTCACAATGTTCTGTCCCGTTCCCACTCCCGACCCAACATGCTGAACAAAGTGGAGCACGCCCAGCAGCGCTGGAGGAGGCAGGTCCAGGAGCAGAGGAAGTCCGTGTTCGACCGGCATGTTGTTCTCAGCTAAAAGGCTATTATCAGGGAAACTGAAACAACACTGTGACCAAGCCCATGGTTTATACCAATCTCAGAGTTTTGTGTTTATTAAGACGGTGGAAGAAACGTGAGTTTCTTCAGCAGACGTTACTTGGAGCTCTTATTTTGTCTGCAGGCAGCAAAAGAGATCACTGTTATGTTCCATTTTGCACGATTGAGGATGAAAGCAGAATTTACTCCTCCACTCTTAAACCCAAGTTTGATCTGTTCCTAGCAGCTGTTCAGTCGTAGCTCGGTGCTGCTCATCGAACCCACTGATCACTATTATTCACTCCAACCACGGCTCCTGCTGCAGAAGGAAAAAAACTTGTGTAAAATATCTGAATCTTTCAGCCTTTTTTTAAGTCTTGTAATGGCTCTTTTTATATCCATCTGTGCTACCAGGATGTTTACTGTGCAACTGCGTGATCTTCCTTTCACTACAGGAAATGTGATATGTGGGAGTAGTTTTAACCAAGCCTCTGAAGAAACTGAGTAGATTTTGTGATCTTTGACGTAACTGTGTTACTGATTTTGACCCTTTTGGAGTCTCCGCCCTCTTGTACTGCCTAACATCGTATTTATAGTCTTTATTTAGTTTTTTGTTGTGATTGAACTGATGAGTATGTTCATAATCAGCGCTCGGTAGGCAGCATTGTTACTCTTGCCGGGTTGTGTACAGAATCAAACCTCCCATTAAATCATTCGAGCGTCCTCAGCTATTCTTTCTGTGAGATCAGTCACTTTAAAATAAATTGACTGTGTTCATTATAATAAACGTAGCTCATTGCAATGTTTTATCTGTTTTATAATGTAATTTCTGTTTTGTACATTTTTGCAAACTGTCCTCAGATTGACTGAGGTTTCCTCGTCCAGGGTATGAAGTAAGAGGCTTCCAGGGGAGCCCATTTAGGGGGAGCTGGGCTCCCCATAGCTCCCCTTTTAGTTTTGTTGCAGTGATTTAGAATCCAATGTTGATTATGCAGAACAAATGCTTTCAAACTTAAGAAATTAAAATATCCATTTTCAGAGCTGCTTCAAACTCACTCTGGTTGGGGAGCTGGTAACTAATTCAGACCTCTTGGGGACAAATTTGAGTCTCCAGTCAGCCTGAAATGTGTGTTTTTGGACTGTGGGAGAAATCAAATGGATGCACGGGCAAACTCCAACCTTTTTTTTTTTTTTTTTTTTTTTTTGCTGCAAGGCCTTACAGAGGAACCAACTGCTGCCCAGAGTTGAAAACGTTTTGTTAATGTCACTCCAATATGTCTGGAGAGTGGGTCTGCGTTTAAAAAACTGGATAAGTAAAAGAAAAATCAATGTTAACTTTTGTTTTTCAAAATAAATATTATCAGAAGAATATCTTCATTAAGCATATCCCTTTCCCCCAACATCTAAAACCTCCAGAGAGACCAACGTGATCCTGGGTCTGATACCTCTTGATGTTTAGATGACTCCAACCATCTTTTCATTTAACCGAGTGATTTCCACACGGCTGCGTCACAGTTTCCTGTCCTCTCCACTTCTCCCGTTCCTTCCTCCCCTTCTCTTCGCTCATTGGATGGAGCTGAGCGGAGGAGACTGTTTTTCTCTCAGAAAGAAGTCCGTTTTCAGGCTCTACGGACACAAAACGACTCAAACTCAGATCAACAATGGATCACTGAACAAACGCCGCGGAAACGGGTGAGTTTTTAGCCTCTAAAGATGCTGTCTGGAGACGCATCTAACGGTTTCATCTTTGTTTTTATATCCTGATATGATGCACTTTTTACTATTGTGTTAACAGAAAAAGAAAATTCTGCTTATGCGTTTTGTTTGCATCATCCATAGCAAGTGGGTTTAATTCTGACTTTACCGATCCTGTCTGCCTGGATTCTGTTTGAAGTTTTTGAGGAAAAACTATTTTCCATCTTTTCTCCTGCGTTTGCAACCATTAGCCTACAGAGGGCGCCCCAGAGCTTTGAACGTGATCCAGACAGTACTAATCAATGACCTTTGCTTTGATCTGTGTTTACTTCAGGCCACAACAAACCTCGGATTGATTAGTTTTCTTGTCCTCTGAGACTGTATGGCAACCCAACAACCTCACAAACATAACTTCATCAGGCATCACATACTTACACCGCCTTCCTCCCACGACTTTAAATCAAGCCTCCACTTTAAAATGCACATGATTCCTATTATTGAAACTCATTTTTTCCACTCTAAAGTAAATAAAGTTCACACAGTATTCCTGTCTGAACAGATTTAATCACATTTTGTGTTTTCTCCGTGGTTTCTGGGTAATTTCTGGTCTGATGTTGTGGCTGCAGTGATTTGAGGACATGCAGTGCCACAAGATAAAAGAATGTCCTTGTGCTAAACTTTGCCTGAAGTATGTTGTAACAGTGGAGCTCCAGCTATTCGGTGTATTTTTAGAAGCAACAGCACAATGTAATTGTTAGAATGATGCAAACTGTGGTTTTTCAGGGAAAACCCCTTCAAACTTATTTTTTTCTTGTGTTGCGAAACAGTTGCTTATTTTTTTTTTAGTAAATTTTTATCTATAAGGAGTTGAAAAAAGTTTGAGCAAATTTTCATGAAGGATTTTATGTTCATGATGTATTAAATTAAAGGAACAGTAAGTTATTTTTTAAAAACTAATCAGATCTTTAAAGTTGCTGTCTGGTGTTTTCCCCTTTCCACTGGACTTGTAACTGATCTTTTTTGTCTAACAGTGTGGATCATTTTACTTCATGTTTTATTTTAGCATCAGTTGGCTCATCCCAGCAAACATTGTCGCGACGGCAATGCAGTGTCCACGGCCAAAAATGGTCGCGGTCGGACATCTTAAATTTCTTAAAACATATGTAACAAAAAATTCCCTAAAAATCCATTCAGATATATTTATACATGTCACCAGTTACATGTGTAATTGTTATTTTGACAATTAGTTACGTGTATAGCATCCAGTAAAAATTTGTCCGATGGTAACATGGAGTCCACGGCCAAAAAAGGTCTTGGTAGGACGGCTTATATTGGTAAAAAATTTTGTAACATGAATTATCTTAAAAATCCATTCAGATATATTTGTACATGTCTACAGTTACATGTATAATTGTTATTTTGACATTTGGCTCACGTGTAGTTCAACATAAAGCATCCCAGCAAAAACTGGTCCGACAACAACGTCGTATCCACGACCAAAACCAGTTGCCGTAGAATGGCTCACATTGGTAAAAAATATGTAACTGAATATTTCCTAAGAATCCATTCAGATACATTTATGTCCACAGTTATCTAGGGTTACGTTATTTTGACAATTTGTTAAATGCAGTTCAACATAGAGCATGCTGTGAACCTACACATGTCAAAGAGATCGCTCAACTTGTAAGGCATCCGCCTCACACGCAAGGGCGCCCCCAGGGGGTGGCCATGGCCACCCCTAGAAAATTGTTGGCCCCCCACAGGAAAAAGCCGTGTTAACAAATCATATTAATGTTCAGCCAAACCATATATTGATCTTGTTTACTCAAGACATAATTGTAAAACAAAATAAAAATATTACAATTAATGAGTAAAGAAATAATCAAAATAAAAATAAAATACATATGTTTCTGCTGCTCACCATTAAAAAAAGTTTTTATCTCCATAATTTATTTTATTTTTTTTTTGTGAACACAGCAACGGGTGAATTAACCTAAAAACATACATTTTTAAATTAAATTTGGGATAACATTTTAAATAACTGACATGTATTTTTCTAAAATGTTTGTGCTTGTAAAATTTAATTTAACTGTTATTTTAATAAAAACAAATAAAGGCGCAATGCAGTACATTGCCACAGACTAAATTAAACCAGAGTTACCACAAGGACCAATTTGGTGTGCCACCCCAAAAATTTCTTTGGCCCCATCTGGCCACCCCTATCAAAATTTTCTGGAGTCACCCCTGCTCACACGCCAACGACCCGAGTTTCAATCCTGGCTGGGACATATGAGATTCTGTCTCCGATGGCTCGTGGAAATGTAATTTTATTCCAGTGATGAATTTTTTTACAATAATGATATATATTTTTTTACATCAATACAGTAATAAAAAGCCTAAATTTAATTACTAAAATTCCAAAAGGGACGCGCAGAAAGATGTTTATGTCACGGCCAGAAAAGACTTCCGTTCAACTTTCATTTTGGAACTATTTTTCAACCATGACGGAACGTGCCGGTTCGATGTTGTTTCAACGGTCATTAAATGTCCAATAGTGATGGAAATTACGGCTCTTTTTAGAGAGCCGGTTCTTTTGGCTCAGCTCACCAAAAAGAGCCAGCTCTTTCGGCTCTCAAGTGGCTCCTCAGATTTTCTGTTGCGTAGAGTACATTTAGAACCAAAATAATGCAAAACTACATGTAAAATGATTTACTAATGTAAAAAAAAGGCAATATATCAAATATTTATCATTTCTAAGGATTTAATAACTGAACACTTTAAGAAATCTCCACTTTCCGATTGCTGGCGCTCATTTTCTCACCGTCTTCGTTGCACTCTCCTCTCTCTCGCTCGCCTTTTTCCTCCTCCTCATTCCCTCTCGTCTCCCTCCACCCGCATGTGCTCTGCTGTGTGTCTGATCATCCCTCTTCCCCGCCCCTACTGCTCTGTGTGTGGACAGTCTGGACACACAGTTACACATGCCTGTAGCTTTCACCAAAGCAAGAGGGGAGAGGGGAGGGGACGGTTCCCAATGACGAGCCGGCTCCCGACGTTCACTTCAAAGAGCCGGTTCATTCGCGACCGACACATCACTAATGTCCAAATGTTTGCTGGGATGTTAGTGTTAGCTTGTTGTTAGCTTTAGCTACAGCAGGCTGCTGCAGGCTTGTTTATGACAGTTGTAATTCCACTTTCAACCAGTAGGGACACAGGAATCTGCTTAGTGTTACTTTAATTTCTGTGCAGAGCTGAGCTATGAAAACATTTTTAATTTTCCAAATTACTCAAATATAAGGGAAACAGGCGGACTTCTGATTGAGAGTAACAGACACATCCAGCTGATTTCTGCGTGTTGTAAAGAGGAGAGGATGTCTCCACTCAACAAGTTGTGTCTCTCTCAGTCGCTGTATCTCAGAGTTGAAGAAACATGTCAAATTAATCCTGGCGTTTAAAGCTCGGCTTCAACTCTCCTTCTGAAAAGTTTCGTTGCCTGTAAAGCAGCAAAGATCTTTGCAGTGAAACGTGGACGAGATGTTTGTGATGATGCAAATGTTTCATTCACGTTGACCCTGTGGAAGGAAAAGATCAAAGGTGAATTTTAGGGGGTAGAATGACTGAGTGGGAAGATTCAAGAGTCATGTTTAGTAGAAGACACTTTTATTTTATTTATTTCCAGGATTAAAGCCTCCATAAACGTCCATAGAAGTTTTGATCCTCAGGTCTTCAAAACCTGCAGAAAATCTGAAAAAGAACAGATAAATCAAGACCACTCTGAAGATTACAAGTCATATTCCTTGAAAGACCTTGAGACCGTTGTTCATGCTTTTATTACCTCACGACTCGACTATTGCAATTCCGTTTTATTTGGTGTAAGTAAGGGTACTTCCTGTAACCCGACTGCAGCTTGTCCAGAATGCTGCAGCTAGATTCTTGGAGAACAAAAGGAAGCATGAACACGTGACACCAATTTTGGCTGCTCTCCACTGGTTACCTGTTGATTTTAGAATGTGTTTTAAACTTCTTTTAATGGTGTTTAAGGCGCTGAGTGGTGTGGCTCCAGCCTGTTCAGCGGAGTTGCTGCAGCCATATGTTCCGGCCCGGTTACTCCACTCTGAGAACCAGCTACTGCTAGTGGCTCCTAAGGCTAGGTTAAAGTTAAGAGCAGGGGACAGGGCGTTCTCCGGTGCGGGTCCGAAACCGTGGAACGCACTGCCCCTAACTATTAGGGACTCTCCATCAGTAGCAGTTTTTAAAATGAGGCTGAAAACCTACTTTTATGATCTGGCTTTTAATTCTGTGGGTTAGCAATTGTTAATGTTTTATATTTTGTAATTCTTATTTGTGGTTTTAATTATATCTGTGGCGCTACATGTTTTATTGTTTTATTATTTTGTTGTACAGCACCTTGGTGGCATGCTCATGCCTGCAAGGTGCTTTATAAATAAAGGCTGAGTTGAGTTGAAAGCACAATTCGACTTTTGCACAGTTCTGCAAACGACAGATGAAGCTCAATCATGTGATTTCCAGCGACTGCGGTTTTAGCAGGTGCATCTTATAGACCGGTACCGTATTCAGCACCGGAGCTCTGTCGTAGGTCCTGAAACTGAAAAGTTATTGACGTGAAGGTTTTCTCGGAGGCCAGCCTCATTCTCCATGACTGGAAGAATGTCACGTATGTGTGAGTCCAGGCTTTGATGCTCCCGTGTAATGCACGAGAGGAAGTGGTTGTTAATGAAACGTCCAGATGGCACCACCATCGGTGGAACAATGAATTCCACCAGTTTAAGAGTCTGGGACACTTTTTGGTAAAACAGTCCACAAAAACCAGTCAGTGCCCCCGTTTTTTGTTCCCAGGCAGTCGGCTTTGAAACGTTTTCAGGAAAGATGGTTTTTATGAGACCTTAAAGGGTTTTGATGGGGAACTCTGAGAAAAGATTCCAGCCGTGTGCGTCTGCATTTTTGTGACTTCCTCCTTCTTCTCGGGTCTGTGGGACGAT